CTCGTCAGCTGCGCTATAGAAAGATGCGTCGCTGGCGAAACTGGATTGGCTGGCGGTGGACGCCTCACTGTCCGAGGACAATGCGCGTTCTCTGATTGGCCAAAAGAGTCGCATGACGCGTTCTCTGATTGGTCAAAAAGAAAAAGGGACACAAAGGGACACCAAACTTGTTGACTAGATAGCCAAAAGTAGGAAAGATCAAATGTAGTTGTTGTTGTTGTTGGCCTCGCGGGGGAAAGGTGTACGCCCCCGGAGACCGCTCCACCCGCCGCCAGCAAGCTGGTCGCGCGCGGAAGTCCCAAAAATGAGAGTGAAAAAGTCCGCCAAAACGGCGAAAACCAGTTTTCACACTGATTAGAACAGATACTACACTTGATCTTAGCCAAAAGGCCGAGAAGGTATGACTTTTTGACAAGTTGGGGCATCAGTTACTATATTCACTGTGAGACCTAATGTACAGCAGGCAAATGTTTAAATAGATTATTTCAAAATTAGCTCCTTTTGTATATTTCTGGGTGTAAATTTTTCGTTTTTATACTGTTGTAATTTGATAATTTTCAAAATGATACAAAGTTGAAGTTTTATTTCGTTTACCTACACTCTCTACACTAACCATTCCGGTTCACTAGTGCCGTTGCTGCTAAGCTACCTCGCCTTCACCTTTCTAACCAAGCACAGCGACAGCCAACATGCTGGGGAACTAAACTGCTATCGCTACCTACGCCACCACGGGAATATTCCACATGCTGATCGCCAGCCAATGAAAGCCCGTTCCGCCAAACTACACCCTCATTGTTTAGACGCAGCAGAGCACCTACCTCTTCCCTACACGATGTCCGAGCGAGCAGAGCGACTATCTGGCCTACAGAATGGCGCTGTGGGCTCCATCGCCGGCATGATCGAAGTGATGCTGCAGCAGCCTACCGTCGCCATCAAGAACGCGGTGCAGCAGGGCCGCCCGATCCCGTGGTCCGTACCGGCACTCTACCGCGGCGTGGGCGTGTCGCTGGCCTCCATCGCACCTGTGAGTGCCATTCAGTTCGCAGTCAATGGCCGGTTGCTGCGTGGCTTGACGGATCCGACCTCGGCTCCTTCGGACCAGACAAAAGTGCTGTGCGGCACACTCTCGGGCGTCGCGTCGGCGGTGCTCAGCGCCCCCGCGGAGCTAGTAATGACATTGCAGCAGAACAATGGCAAGAGCTTCGGTGCGACGGTCAAAGAGGTCGCTCAGCAACACGGTGTGGTGCGACTGCTGAGGGGCTTTTCGGCCACGGCAGTGCGAGACGCCGTGTGGTGCGCCGGATATTTGGCACTGGGCCCCGTGTTCACCCGCGAGATGCACATACTGAGTCCCGCCACCTTCGGAGACGTTAACACTGCCACCAAGTCGCAGAAGGCGTCGGCCTCGATTGCCGGCTGCGTCACTGCTGGTCTGATCACGGTAGCGGCCACTCAGCCTGTGGACACCATCAAGACTGTCATGCAGGGCGAGGCTATGGTGCTGCCCTCCGGTCGCACACCCAGTACGCTCGCCACGGCCTGCCGCATCTATCGCGAAGGAGGCTTGGCGCGATACTACCGTGGCATCGTTCCGAGAGGATGCCGCTTGGTCGGCGCCGTCTTCATCCTGGGCCAGTCGCGCATCAAACTCGAGGAGGTTTTCGAGGAGCACGAGCTGCTTAAGATCTAGGCCAGTATTCACCACCGTAGACAGACACTCCCTTTCGTGATATGAAACACTGTCATCACACCGAGTAGCATGAACCTCGTCGTTGATTTTTCGTAAGCTTACTTGTCCTCTGAATGCCTCCGTTGTGAACAATCGACTTACACCCGCCGCCTTTGCACCCTGATACAGACACCATCAGTTGACAAGAAACAACGGTGCCATCTATGATGTTTCCGCCGTTAAAGCTCTCTGTTGAAGTCAACTCTTGCACCATTTTGTGATTTGTTTTCCTACGAGGTCACGTTTACTCACGCAATTTGTCACTTGCAATCACAAATCACAAACCACTGGGCGATGGCGTTCCTGCAGGAAGAAGACGACGCGAGAGTTTTCGAAGCGGCGCTGGGCTTTGTAGACGAATGCTCACTCGACTGCCCTGGTCTCAGTGCGGAGATTTCGGCTCCCTCAACAGCTCAAACGTTGGAGCTGCCATTCAAACGCGAGCAGTGTCGCGGGGTGTTAATCGGGGGGCCGTCATTCACCATCGACTGTCGAGAAGCGGCAACGATGGTGCCGTTTAACATGAAAAACCTTGTCGACGGGGCAATCGCTTCCGGTTTTCGGTTAAGTTTACCGTCAAGTGATGAAACCATGACTCGACCTAAGGCTTCAAAGACCAAGAAGGTCCCAGCCAACCCGAACCGAGTTCGAGACGAGGCTCAATATGAATTGGCTTTCCTTCGTGAGAAGGTGGTGGAGCTGGAACTGCAATTAAAAAATCTGCAGCTGAATACAAAATCAAATGGGGAATTTAGTGTGAAGGCGTCGGTACCGAGAGAGTTAATGCAAGTGCCGCGAGTCTGGAAAGAGATGGCTGTTCGACAGAGACGACGACGAGAACAAGTACAGCGCGAAAATGTGCGCTTGAGGCTTATTGTTGAGCGGAAACGAAAGATGGCGACGGGGCTGAGTGCGCTATTGCGAAAACGACTTACACAGCAGGTAAGATTTTATTTTCTCGAGCTGCTAAACGAGAAAATTTTCGCCAACTTGAGCTTCGAGATTGCAGGGAGCGGAATGCTGGCGTGGAAAAGGATCAAATATCACTGAAGACCGCACAGCGTGCGTGCTGGACTTTCAAGGTGATATTGGGGACTTCCACGATCTTTTCCAGCACCTTCAAATCGCATGCCACGAAATCGACGCTGTGTTTGCTGCTAGCGGTCTCTCATCGATGGAGTTCCCTACTAATGATGTTCATGTCAGAGAAGGCGTTGACGTCAAGTACATCGAAGTTTTTGCCAATAAGTTGCTACCTTTCAGCCTGCACAAATGTGGAGAGGCGGCGTGGGACCATTTTAAAGGAGTTGAAAAGCACTTTGGCAACGGTGGCCTGTATGAGAAGGCAGCAAAGGTAATCCCACCATTGACCTCCCTGTAATGAAATGTTGATCTAACCTGCTGTGCCACACTGAAACGTACAGAATCTAGATCAGCCTTATACCATAATCGAAGACTTTACCAAAGAAATGTTCTCAAACAATTCGCGAGCGGATGTGAAGGCCAAACAGATCGTGCAGCGTATCGTGGATCCAGATCGAGACATGATCCTTTTCGTTTCAAGCGTGGCACCTATCGAAATCAAGCACAAACCGATTGACGGCCTAGTCTACCATGCGCGAGAGTACGCTCTAACCAAGCGCTTTTCAGAGTCCACGCCCGAGCACGAGTTATCGCTATTACAGCTCTATGTGCGGATTTCCTTCGACTATGATCCTGGTGTCGTGTTCGACTCCCGCCATGTTCGCTCGGTCGCCCAGTTTGTGATTGGCAACGTTGTCGGTAGTCTTCGTTGCTATCAAGAACGTATTGAAAATGCTTTGATCGATCAAGCATTGAGACGATTGTAACGAATACTATCCGTCCATTTCCTGCTTAAACATCTTGAATACACAGGACATTCACGAATACAATGTGTCGTGTTACGGCTGCAACATGTATTAATACATGTATCATGTATCACATTGCCATGCTGACGCAGCGGTGGAGTACTTTGAATCATAGTGATCGATCAAAGGTGATTTGTGGGTGGCTGTATGCTGCGTGTTCGATATCAAGATGAAAAGAGACAAACGAACATCACCCAAAACTGCTCTTATTATTGAAAACGACACCACAATTACCGACTTACGCACTTGTACATACACTTCACCTCACACTCATTTACGCTTACGTACTCAAAAACAACTAACAGCAAACACTGAACGGCAATGCAGCTCAAACTGTAGAGGAGCATAGCTTGTCATCGCATGACGAAGTTCGATCCTTCACCACTAGACAAAACCATTGCACTGAACAATTGCACCGAAGAATCGATGAGTTGCTTACACGGTTGCAACCGGCGTGTGGACGGCATTGGAGTACTCAACCTCGCCTGCTTCACCCGCAGCAGGCGTGTGGATGATGTTGGCGTAGGCTTCCTCAGCCTTCACCGAAGCAGGCGTATTGACACCATTGCAGTAGTCCGTCTCACCTTCTTCTGCAGCTCCCTTGCGGTTTCTCGCGATCACAACGGCTGCCACCATACCAAGCACTCCGACCAAGCATCCAACGACGACAATGGGCACGGTGGCGCTGCCGCTCGAATCGTTGCTGGGGCTCTTCTCTGCTTCGTATTCTGCACGGGTGGTGGAATACGCCACCCCAACTGTGCCCTCGCTCGAGTATGCCACGCCCACAATGCCAGTGGTTGAGGCGGACGAACGCTCGTCCAATTCCGCTGTGTCAGCACTTTCCGTCGGTGCTGCCGTGGGATATGTCGGTGCTGGAGTTGGATCGCTGAAGTTGGTCGGTGCCGGTGTTGGGATATTTGTAAGTGTCGTGGGGGCGGGGGTTACAATGACAATATCTGCGTTGTCCGCCTGCGCCGATGCAGAGAGCTGGATGGCATTCTGCGGGTTTCCAGCCTGGACAGCACTGGCGATGGTCAGGAAGGTCGCGACGAAGACGGTGAACTTCATGAATCTTGAATGGGGAGTTCCGCGCTTGAAAAGGTAAAATGCAAAGTGAGTGAGCTGCAGGACGAAGCTTCACGCGAGTCGACCCTGGTGGCAGACACTGCTGTCATGTTGCATGTAGAATCTTGCTACTGCAACGCTTTACACTGTAGAGACCCACGCGCTCGAAGCACCCGAAAGTCTGTCGTTGCTGTATCTATCGGTTGACCAGCAGGATAAGAAAACCTTTACAGAGGAAATGCCGTGACCGTCAGCGTGTAAAATGCCAGGCAGTGGTTGATGCCGTCATGTGGTGAGCCATTCCACTGCCAATAGGTCCCTCTGGCGAGAGATCCGGTACATCGTACATGACCTCCATCTGGAGAGATCACCCAGCTGTAGTTAATCAACAACTGTCGGTCACTGGTTTGTTGATGTTTGTGGCGAGCCTCTGCGGCGTAGAATATTCACATGGACGAAAACGCATCAGATCTGAGTTGAAATCCTTCAATTGTGCACCACACGACGTTGCGCAATCTTTACTTGTATCGAAGATCAACCAATCAAGTGCCAATTAGTGCACTGTAATCGTCGCAGCAACGCCTGGACAGAACAAAACGATGGTGGAGGTGACGGTGCTGGACTACGGCGCTGGCAACGTGCGCAGCCTGAAGAATGCTATCCGCGCTGCGGGTCATTCGGTAAAGGATGTGTCCTGTGCTGAGGATATCCGCAACGCTGATGTGCTCATCTTTCCGGGCGTGGGCAACTTCCGTGCCGCCATGGAATTCCTTAACACCAGCGGCTATGTGGAGGAGCTCAAGAGTTACATCGCTGCTGACCGCCGTTTCATGGGCATCTGCCTGGGCATGCAGACGCTGTTCGAGGGATCGGAGGAGTGTCCCGAGCTCAAGGGCCTGGGCATCATCAAGGGTAAAGTGGCGCGCTTCCCTTCTGAGCAGGTGACGGTGCCGCACATCGGCTGGAACGGCATCAACGCCTGGAAGAAGTCGGCGCTGTTTGCTTCTTTGCCCGTAAGCACAGAGGAAGCCATGGTCTATTTCGTGCACTCATTCCGTGCCACCAAGACGGACAAGAACGCTGACTGGGTGCTATCCACCACCAATTATGGAGAATTGGAGTTCGTCAGTGCTGTGCAGAAGGGCAACGTCATGGCCACGCAGTTCCACCCAGAGAAGAGCGGGGCAGTCGGTATTGCTATTCTGAAGGGTTTCTTGGAGAACAAGGATCTTGCGGACCACGACGCTCCGATCCCCACGGCAGTCGCGGCGCCGCGAACGACGCTCTCCAAGCGTATCATCGCGTACGTGAAAAATCTGGATCCGTTTTTGTGGGTATAGCGGTTATTTTGACGATTTTATCGCTGTAGGTGTCTGGATGTGCGTGCCAATGACCAGGGAGACCTCGTGGTGACTAAAGGCGACCAGTACGATGTTCGTGAGACTTCAGATAGCGCTGAAGGAGGCAACGTCCGCAACATGGGTAAACCGGTGGATTTGTGCAAGCGCTACTTCGAGGAGGGTGCGGATGAAGTAGCGTTTCTCAACATCACGAGCTTCCGTGAACAACCGATGGGCGACTTGCCAATGGTTCAGGTGCTAGAGGCCAGCTCTGAGTGCGTGTTCGTGCCGCTCACGATTGGTGGTGGTATCCGTGAGTACGTGGACGATCAGCAGAAAACCCACTCGGCGCTGGATGTGGCAGCACTGTACTTCCGCTCGGGTGCTGACAAGGTTTCTATCGGTAGTGATGCCGTGTACACGGCAGAGAAGTATTACGCGAATGGTGGTAAGGGTGACGGTAGCAGCTCGATCGAGACCATTTCTGCTGTGTACGGTAATCAGGCCGTAGTGGTATCCATGGACCCGAAGCGGGTGTACGTGGCCTCGTTTTATGATGAGAACGCCAAGGGCCACAACGTTGTGAAGCTTTCGCAGCCAGGACCGAACGGTGAGGAGTACTGCTGGTACCAAATGACTGTCCGTGGTGGCCGTGAGGCCCGCGACATCGACGTGGTGCAGCTGGCCCAGGCTGTTGAAGCTCTCGGCGCTGGTGAGCTTCTGCTTAACTGCGTGGACATGGATGGGCAGAAGGCCGGCTATGACCTGGACCTGATTTCACTGGTGAAGAAATCGGTGCGTATCCCCGTTGTTGCGTCCAGTGGTGCTGGTAAGCCCGAGCACTTCACGGAAGTCTTTGAGAAGACGAACTGTGATGCTGCCCTCGCGGCCGGTATCTTCCACCGTAAGGAGGTGGCCATCCAAGATGTCAAGGCGCAACTTCACACTGATAATATTAGTGTGCGTCTCTAGGCGCATCTTCATGCAGTAGCGCAGCCGCACAGGAGCAAAGTTCAGTGACTAGATGCATGATACGTGCTTCTGTTCCTCACAAAAGTGGCACTCTAGCATTCCTTCGCTAGCGCATCTTGCAGCTCCGTTCACACATATCGTGCAGGGACCTTACGTACACACGAACACGAAAAAAAATAGAGCAAAACCACAGCGGAAACCTTGTACATGTACATTTTGCATGTCTTCCTGGAATACTATCCTTGCTCAAGTGGTTGAGGAAAGTAGAATATTTCTCCGTCGTCATTTTCAGTAACCTGTCCAAAACAGTCACTCCTGACTTTTGACTCGCGTGGGCCAGACCTTCGTCCTCCAAGCGGGGTTGCTATCCGTACTTCTTGTTGTTGATCGTCAGAAGGATATTTCTCTTTCAAACTACCCTTGGTATCGCTAGTGGGCGATTCCATGAAATTCGAATGAGCATGCGGTATTGATCCGGCCGTTTGAGCTCGCCACGGTAATGATGGTGATCTACAAGTAGTACTACGAATAGCACCGGCAGATCGTCGAATTCCTAAAGGCAAGGCGCCACTGGGTGTACTACACCCCTGAACTCGTCCGCTTGACGTGTGAGGTCGGTTGGCAGCTTTCGTGGCAAGTAACATTTGCTGCTTGTGCTTTCTACTCGATGATGCAGCATCGTTCGTGCAGGTAGAAGACGACGAAGGCCGAGACGGTAGCGGTACAAACACTTGAGAGTTCTTTTCTCTCTCCAGTAGATCCTTGTAGTCCAACATGATATCACGCGTGCCATTCTGTAGATCATTACGCACAATAGGGTGATATGACACATGTAATCCAAAACAATTCGTTCCAGCCCATACCTGACTTCGCTCTATCTCCTGTAGAATTGCCACATTTTCCTCTTGCAGATTTGTCGCTAGCGTTGCAAGTGGCCCTTTAACATTGTTGAGATCCCCTTGAGTATCCTTCAGGAGGCCAGCCAGTTTTCGAATGCATGCATCCAGTTGTGCAAGTCGCTCTTTGTGATACATCAAAAGATCTTTGGCCTTGCTCATCCGCTGATTCAGCTGTTGAGACTGCTGCCCGCACGTTGCGCTAACCTTTCTCAATTCATTCTGTAGCTTTTCGCTGTTATCCTTGAGTTTTGCATCGATTGCATGCACAAGACCAGCACGCGCAAATTGGTCGAATTCGCTCAGCGTCTTTGTGAGATGCTCGCTGTGTGCCTCCAATTGCTTAACATTATTGACGAGCTGTACTTGTCTTGCGTCTTGGGCGCTCTTGTCCGCCTGTGTCTGTGTTTGGAGTCCACTTAGTGTTGCTGTTAGAGATTGGAGGTTCGCAATGGCTTGAGTAGTTTGCTCATCCAAGGCTCGAAGTTGGGCTGTTGAAGCTTGCTCAGCACTTTCAAGTTGCACAATGGAATTACGAGCCGCTGTCTGCTTGCGTGTGAGGTCCAACATATTCACGTTTAGCTCTGCCACTTGCTGTTGACGCTGGCGGTCTCCATTAACGTAGGTGCTGAGGGATTCAAGCTGGTCCGTCATTTTCGAGAATCGCAAAGCTGCGGTCTCCAGCGATGCCTTCTGACCCGTAGCTTCAGGATTAAACACTCGATTGAAATCTTCGATCCCCAGCTTCGTATTCACTTGGTTTTCCACTTGTCGTGCAAAAGTTGCAAAAAGATCTCGGACGTGCTGCTCCATTGTAACGCGAAGCCTGTTCAGGTCCCACGCATTTGCATCGAACACGGACACGTCCAGCTTGGTGCTTTGTAACGTTGCCAGCGACGAAAGATCTGCCTTCTGGGCCAAGAGCGCTGCCATTTCCGATCTGATGGTGTTTATCTGAGCGTCCACATGAGCCAGCGATATTTTTGTGGATAATGCAGCATCCAACTGAGCTCTTGTCACGAAAGATGCTAGCAGCTCCGCTGTTCGCGCTCGTTCTTCCTGAGCAACGCGACCGGTAGCTCGTAGTTCTTGCACTTGAGACTTCAGTCGATCCACTTCGGCCAACATATAGCGACTATCTGACCATATACGAAAAGTACACCGAAAAAATGAGTTGCAGAACAAATCAAGTAGGCCACCTACTGCAGGTGATCCTCACCTGCAATGCCCATGTGAACTTCCGCCATTCTTCACGATCTCTCAATTGACCCGACCCCACTACTGTACTAATAACAATTCTCGAGAGATTCTCGAGTATTATTAGCGAGTGCTAGTTGGCCTTTTCGGTGCGAACATGACCTTACAACACGGTCAGAAAAAGGGTCAGAGTGAGGTGATCAGTGATCGCATCGTACGCGTCCATAACTTGCTGCTGGTGCTTATTAGAGCCGATAGCTCCTTGGTAGAACGAAGATTACCTTATCGATATCTTCCGACGCTACATTGATCCACTGCTTCAACAAGCTGGCGTTTCCTGCAAGGTCTGTCACTGGTGCAACCTTCGCGTCACTTTCGCGCGACTGTTTCGGTGGTACCGCTGTCTCGGATATTTCCGAAGGGGGAACAAGTTGTTGTTAACAGCCGGACAAACCCGGAGCCGCAGCGCAGTGATTCCTCTTCCTCCGCGGCGCGTGCGTGGCTTCCTGCCTCAAATCCAAGGCAGGCCCCACCGCTGTCTCTTCCCCAGCTAGACGCCTTCGCTTCCCAAGCTCGTTCGCTTCCTTGTTTGCTCATGGACTATGAATTGGTGCGCACTTCCAAGTCAATATTGAATCGCTGCTCAAACCTCCCTGTGTGCAGAGTGCAATTCATCGTTCTAATTTTTCTACATGTCACAGGGCGACGAAGGGCTCATCAAGGAGTCCGAGCTGGCGAATGGCCCGACCTTCGAGGACTTGGCCATCGATGACAGCCTGAGCGACCTGCAGCGCGTCACCAAATACGTGTGCAGCAACATCCCGCTACAGCGTGTCATCCACGTCAAAATGCTGCACGAAACGGCGCGCTCTGTGGGCTTCCAGGCTACGTGCGATCAGCTGCTGCCGCTGCTCGAGCCCCTGGTCTGTGACGTCGAATACGTCGTACGCCAACACGTGGCACTGCAGTTCCCTCCGCTGTGTCAGTTCCTAGTGGGAGCGGATCCCGACACGGGCTATAAAGTATTGCTAGATAAGTTGATCCCGCTGGTTACTAAGCTTGTGTCGGACGACCAGCATGAGGTGCGCTCCGCTGCGAGCGAAAGCCTCGTGGAGATGGCAGCGCTGGTTAAACCCGAAGACCAGGGACAGCACGTGCTGACCATTGTGCTACCATTGGCACATGACGACGACAATGAACAGTTCAGGATTTCTGCTGTGGCACTTTACAACGGATTAGCGGAACATTTCGGTCCCGAATTATGTCAGCAGTTTTGCGTGCCGGAGCTAATTTCACTGTCGGAAGACCCAGTCTTTCGAGTAAGAAAATCGACGGCACTCAGCTTTTCTAATGTTTGCAAGACGGCAGGAGTGGAGTTGAGCCGGGAGAGACTCATCCCGGCTTTTCACCGATTGGCGAAGGACGATATTTGGGGTGTGCGCAAAGCGTGTGCCGAGTGTCTGGTTAATGTTGCATTGGCGCTGGCGCCTCCAGACAGGGGGCCAATGTTGGTACCTTTATTTGAGAGTTTTATTGATGATTCATCACGGTGGGTGCGGATGGCTGCGTACCAGAGTTTGGGGCCATTCCTGGCGGCATTGGAAAAAGATCAGGTTACAGATGAACTGGTGGGTCACTTTACGAGCATGGCAACAACGGCGGCATCGCAACTGGGTGGAAGCGGCGAAGTGGACATCAAATTTCATTGTGCGTTTAATTTCCCGGCGGTAGTGAGTATTCTGGGCCCCGCAGATTGGCTGAAACTCTCCCCAGCTTTCGAGCTGCTACACAATGACACTTTCTGGAAGATCCGGCGGTCATTTGCGTACTCATTGCACGAATTGGCGAGGATTCTTGGACGGGGCATTACAGAAACACAGCTAGCCACAGCGTTCGACAGTTATCTTCATGACGTGCAGGACGTGCGGCTAGGCGTGATGCTGCACTTTGCTGACTTTTTGGAGAATGTTTCGCCATCATTTCGTGAAAGCTATTTACCAGTGCTCGCAGAGTTCGACTCATTCGACAACACTACCAAATGGCGCTTCCGTGAAGTGCTGAGTGGCCAACTAGCGCAGTTGTGCCACACTTTCACGCCCGAGGCGACATTTTCAGTGATTTACCCCTTGGTATTCAAGCTCGTTACAGACCCGGTTTCTGTTGTTCGAGAACAGAGCTATCATGTACGTGACCAAGTATTTCTTAGCGTACTGACGGGATTATGACACGCTAACATTTTTATCTTGGTGAAATACAGGCGTGTCCTCTACTGGTGGCACGTTTGAGCTCAAATCCAGATTGGCTCACTGCTGTTGTTGACAAATTCGTGACTCTCGCAAAGTCGTCACATTATCAGGACAGACAATGCTTCGTGAAGATAGGTGCATCATTCCTGTCAACCACTTCTCAACAAGACGAGGATGCAGGCGAGGCCCTTGAAAAGGCAAAGGCGGCGCGAAGCTTCTTTACATCTAAACTTGCAGCCGTACTATTCACGCTCGCATTGGATCCGGTATCGAATGTCCGAGTGGTATTTTCCGAGATTGCGATCAAACACCAACAATTATTCCGAGAACATCCCGACTGCCCGGACTCCTTGCGGGAGATTCTTACAGCAACGGCGTTCACCTGCGTCGACGAACTCACTACTGTTTTGTCTGAACAAGTAAAAGTGCGACTCGAAGCACAGGCGAAGATTGAGGCGGAAAGTAACAGTATGGACAAATTACCAGCAACCACCATAGATGCTGAGAAGGAAAACGAGAGCAGCCTCGAACCAAAGTCGGAGATCCCTGAGCCAATAGAAGCTGCAACCGATGACAAAATGTCTTCAGGTGGTGCAGTAACAAACCATGTAGCGCTTACACCGGCTGCATCATTGGCCGCCCCACCAATAGAAGCAGGAGACGCTGCGGAGTCTGCATCGGTACACACAGGAGATTCAGAGGAAGCTATCGTTGCTGCACCAGCGGATAGTTCAGAGACAATTTCCGAGTCAATAATGGTGCCAACCGACGAATTAAACTCGTCCATGGCAACCTCAACGGAAGAGCCCCCACCCTCCGAATTCAATGGGGAGGTGTCAAGTCTGGCAAGTACAGATGCAACAGGAGAGTCGACCAAAGTGGCAGAAGAGTCTGCTGCGTCGTAGTCGTGCGTGAGGAGGATTGATGAATGGATAGATGAATCTAACAGTTAGAGGTAGCGGGTAACTCGACAAACAAAAGACGCCGCCATATGATTTCGGGGCATAGAAGCCAAGCGAGACGTCGACATCTCGAGATCGATCAAAAGCACCAACCAAATACCGTATCGTCATTTCGCTCCTCCAACGTCGCCCAAAAACTCGAGAAGGATACTGTATGTGCTAATAAAAAGTGACAATAGGAAGTGCGTTGCTGCGCGTTTCAACCTTCTTTCTGCCTTTTAACAAGTATTGTAACAATTCGGCTATCTCCTCGTCTACTGCTTTTCTGCATACTTCGATGCCGCGTTAGCCATTTCCTTAGCAGCATTTACTGCCACCGAGTTCTTCGCTGCGTCCACCGACTCACAGAAAGCTGGCTGGAAAGTACCCTGAAAAATGTCGTTGCAGATCTCCTCCACTGCTCTGATACCTTTGGCCGCCGTCTCGGCACCGCGGCTGACTGAGAACTTCTCGAGCTTCTGACTCAGCAGCGGCACAAAAGCTGTAACTTTAGCCTCGGCTTCGTACAACGTCTTTTGTGCGTCGTCCGGGTGCACCGAGTACACGCATGTCTCCTCGACAGTGGCCACTGATCGCAACGACAGGTTCGTAGACTTGAGCACCAACTGCTTACGCTGAGAGTCACACGTCGTCTCCTCGAATACGTAAGTGCAGTCCCCCAGGGCGGAGCGCACCCAGCCCGGCAGGTTCTTCTGGGTCACCTTCGCGAGTCGCGTAGTCACGAGGCGGCCCTGCGAGTCCAGGCACCGGTCCAAAATGTCCACGCGCTCCACATGTGCGAGACGTTCGTTCGGATACTTGTTCCAGAAGGCGCGCGTAACGACGTCCCATTGGAACGGGTATACATGGCGAGTCTCATTAGTCAACACCATCGTCCTTTTCGTCTTGTGAGACTTTGAGACTGACGACGAGTTCCACACCGCAAGAGCGAGAAAACAGCCAGTGGCTGAGTGACGGAAAACACAACGGATAGCCTCGAAAACTAAATAAAAAGCGAAACAATGGGTGCCAAAATAGAAATAATGAACATTCTAGAACACTATAACCTCGAAATTCGATAATACATGAATGCCGTGATTTTGATAATCACCACGCTTCCATTTTTGGCGGTGGTTGGACAGGTATCCGCATACCGTACATCTGAGATTTTGAGACGTGAGTTCACTTTCACTTCAACTCTCATGCGCATATTACAGAGGTGGCGACGTGTGGACACCCAGCAACAGCAAATAGACTAAAGCATTTAGGACTCATGGCTCGTGTTATCGAATAAGTTATTGGTGCGGCCTTGCGTGCAGCTAATAGCTTTTCAAAACTGAAATGATGGAGGTATCGTGTGGTGACCTGGATGACTCAAGTCGATAACAGGCCAATATGATGCCGCTCCATTTTGGCGCGGTCAATGAAGATCTCCACTAGCCGCCGTCGCGTGTCGTCCAGCTTGTTGGCGAGGTACTTGGGCACGATAGAGCTGTCTTCCTTCGTGGCGAAGTGGAACGCCACCAGGCAGTCCACCGCGGTCTTGCGGACGTTAGAACTTGCGTGATCGAGGCGTCGTGACAGCACGCTCATAATGCGCTGGGCCACGTCGTGCTTATGCAGGAATGCTGAATTTTGGGCAGAACTGCGCTCGCAGATCTGGAAGCACACCTTGATGAGCCGTAATACCACTTGCAGTGTTGGAGGCTCTCTGTTAGAGTCCAACGGAATCAGCACTGACAGCGTCTGCTGGTGGTCGCCCGCAGAGCTCACAAGGTCGTGAAGAATCCGCTCCATCAAATGGCGAGCCTGTTTGACAGCCGTATACAGTGATACGTTAGACCCCACCAGCAACAGCTATGCCGCTCGACTCCGACTTACCACGTCAACTTGGTCGACCATCGCATCAATCAAACGCTGAAGAAGCAGCTCAAAAAACATTTGCGCCCGAGAAGGCTGCGCTTCCACTAGCCGTTGTAGCACCTTAAGAGCATACACATTCCCTTCGGTAGCAGCGTCTAGTAGTAGTAGAAGTAGCCGCCCAAAGCAACGATCCCAGGTCTCTGATGATTTAATTTCAATGAAATGCAAAGTCTGTTTCATACAGAATGTTAGTTTGCCACACACAACATTAACCGAAGCAATGAAGAAACACACACATGTACCTTGTGCAGTGCATGTTTCAGTTCCGCCTCGGACAGATTGTTTTGCTCGAGGATATGAAGAATATCTTCAAGCTGATCATCGTGCTTGTCCACTCTATCTCCCACAGACGAAAACAGGGCACTGGAAAATGAAACGTTTTCGGCTGGCGTTGCCTTGGCAACCATCTCGTTCGCTCGCTCGACCGCCGCAGAGCTTCTTTGTCGAACGTTAATTGATTGGCCCTCGGCAGGTAGCGGCGAGGTTTTCTGGGACGTCGTGTTTATCCGCTTTTGGCTGTTCTGTCGAGGAGGACTGGAGGAACTCACACTTGGTGACTCTACTCGCTTGCGGCTCCGCTCTGGTTTGGGTGCTGGAGGAATTTCCTGATTGTCATTATCGTCATCGCGTGTTCGCGTGGAAAGTGGAGCTGTTGATGAAGTAGAAAATGGTGGCCTTGGTGGGTTGCTGAAATTGAGCACAATCTTCTTGGACTTTAGGATCTTGGAAACAACCAAGCGCTTGGATGGAGGAAGTAGCCCCAGTACCACCTCCATCTCTGAACCGTAAAGCTGTGCAGCAACCGAGACTAGCTCGCCACATGCCGATGAAACAGAAACCGGGACGTCTGTATCCATGAGGAGAGCGATTTTGAGCAGAAAAGACCTCATGTGGCTATTGTTCGCACCATGTTTCATGTACTCTTCTGCCCCAGGCAGCAGTTCGCGCAAGAAGTGGCACATAGCCGCCTTGACTTTCATGTTGCTTCCATCTCCCAACATCGATATCACAATAGCAGCCAGCGTCGAACTATCGACTGTTGACGCGATGTACTCCAAATTCTCTTTTGCACCTGCTCGGATCGATTCCTTCGTGTCAATAAATTTTTGAAACAGTTTCGGCAGAACTGTTTTCAGGTGAGGTAGCAGTCGCTGGCTGTCGTTGGAAAGCTTCAGGAGAGGTAGCAAATTCTTCAGCACACTCTGCGAGACGCGATAGTGGGAATCGCTTAGATGTTTGATAAACGCTGTCAGGATCCGGCCGTCCACCTTGTGAACTCCGCTCGCACCACTTTCGATCTGGTCAACTCTCCTTCTAAGATATTTTCCGATATATTCTGCAGCCTCCAACCTGGTAGACCAGGAGCTCCTCTCGATGTTCCGAATTGCTTCCTCGAGTTGATCTGCGACTGGTAATTGTGTAACCTTAGGCCGCTCTGACGATTTTGTCGGTGCAATTCGCTTAGGCTTAATGTCCCCGGAGTCGCTCTTTGAATTGTTGGTTCTAGAGCTCGATGCATTTGACGCAGTTGGTGAAGGTATAGACACAAGTGGTAGTCGTTTCGGACCACGGGTCTCCCCTTCATCGATATCCATTGGAACTGGCGATTGAGTTTCTCCTGCAAGCTGAATTCGCTGTGCTTTAAAAGCCTGCTGCTGGGAACTGGTGTGAAATCCTGCAGTAGATGGTTCCTGTCGCGACGTGTGGCTTTCGTTCGTTGACTGTGATGGCTTCGATGGATTCAACACCCGGAGAGGACCTGCAGCAGTACTCTTTTTCTTTTCATTCGCCGAAGCAGAACTATCTTTCAAGACTAAAGATTTTGCTCGAGCAGCTAGTCCGACACGCATTGGACCGTGCGATAGCAATCGCGAAGACTGCACGTTTTTTTCTCCAGAATCAATGCCAACTGAGGTTAAGCCTCCTCCTGGTACGCGCATTGGCAGTTTTCCGGCACTCAGTTCTTCTCCATCGAAGCGCGGTTGCTCATCACTGACTCTCACTGAGTTTAACACTAACGGCTGAGCTGTATTTGTTGTCCGAAGCGCTGAACGAACAACACCCGAACTCTGGGGTGCTGCAGCATCCATCAAGGAGTAATCTCCGTGTCGTGCTGCTTTGGCGGTGAATTTCGAGGGATCGTCGTTTAAGTTTTTCTGCGTCGATCCATCCAAGCGACTAAGAATGCTTTTAGCCTCGTCCTGTGTTACACGATAATCATGTCACCAACAATAATGAACGTTAGCTAAGCTATCCCAAATGTCATTTTCGTTAGGAATTACTTACCGGGAAGAGATGATGATAAGACCAATAGCATTTTCTGGACTGCGCGCGCACATCCCCCAGAGCGTCTTGCAAAAGAGCTGGCATAATCGGCACAAACAAATCCGAGTGCCTGAACCAGTGACGTTAAGACCAACTGCACTCATTTGAGTTGCAGGATAAACAACAATACGTACTTGCTGAGGAAGCTGACACTCCACTTCTGAAGGATTAGTGTCAGATAGCACACGGCGTTGTATCGCAGCACTTGGTTCCGAGATTTAACGCATTCGATCAACCTAAGCATTATCAGATACCACGAGCGTTAGTTCAGAGCAACAATGTGGTAAAACCCAAGTCAACTTGCTTTGGAATCACGCGCCCGTAGCCGTTGCTCGTACTTTCAATCATGCTTTTGATCGTAGTATCTGCTGAGGTCGAAATCACTTGGATAGTCACGTAGGTCGCCTTGAGTAGATTGCCAAGACAAATTTCTGCGTGCGCATTAAACTCGTCCCGCAGAGTATTGGCAAGCGTTCGGATTGTCTGACATGCTTCTCTGGACACGGAAGATCGCAAGTCACTCACTTGCAAGCACAAACGCTCACGAACCGACCGTAAGCCCTGGGATAACAAAGATAGCGCAGTTCCGCTGTTTGAAGCTTTGCTACATCGATTCGCCAACTTCTGAAGCATCTTCAATCCGTCGACACGCTTGTCCCAGTTATTGTCAAGCTCCAGTTTGTCAAATATCCCACCCAGTTGCTTCTGAAGTTCTTTCTCCGAGATGTCGTTGCTGCCTGCTCCGAAAGAACTTTCTGCGCTGATTTCCTGAACAGTTTGACTGTCTGTGGAAGATGCTTGTGACGGAGACCGCTCGCCTCCTGTAGAAGCAGCTACAGCCTTAGCCTCGTTTAGAGTTCGGCTATGTACAGACGCCAAATACCGTGCCATTGAAGAAGAAGATGACGACACGTGCAGATCGTACGACGACAAGATCGACGACAACTCATCTGGAAGGACGTTGTTAGAAGCTGGGACCTCGCTGTTTACTAGCGACTGTGAACAACACAAAACTATTCAGAAAACTCCCCATAAAACCCGATCACAGCAAAAATCGTAAACGTACCGATCCGCCATCGCGCGATCGCGCCGCACACACATCATCCGCCACGCTTTTAGATCGAATTGGGAGTCCTTTAAACCTTTCAGTGAGAGTCTTCATGTGTGCTGCGCGAATATTCTTATACTCCAAGTCACTCTGCATTATATGGAGCATACACAAAACAGTTCAGTTCCACATCGCTACAGCTCAACCACCAGCCTTTAATCTCCAGTACCAAAAGCGAGGGCCCAATGAATGTGTAGAATTTCTCCAACGTTGTAATCGCTGCAGCGCGCACATCTTTCGACGAGTCTTCCAACAATTTTAACACCTGCACACAATCACTGTAAAAAACCACCACTCTCTCCGCTCTCCACTCCAATTAGCACCACTCACATCATCTAGCAGTTCGTCTTGTCGCTCCTTAAACAGATTGTGTCTTTCTAGACATCTCCACACCGCGTGCAAGCTCTAAACATCACAACAACTGTATCAGATCTTCTATCTCCAGCCTTTATCTCCCTCTGGTCATGTGTACCTGCTCGCGCGTGCGCCAGTTCTTGTGACTCATGCATCCTTTGAGCTTGTCCAGCACCGTAATAGCGTCCAACACGACGGAGATCTCCACGACCACGTCCACAGCCTTCTGTCGGATCGGTAACTTGTTGTCCCCGAGGCGCTCTACGAGGCTGATCCACAGAAGCTTTAAATATGAGCGTAGCGTGCTCTCCGTCACGCGCGCGACCAGCAGCTCTAAAATCTCCAAAGCTCCGAGCGCAATTTTCGAGTTGTGGTCACGTAAGCAGGGAAGAACATGCGGGATCAATGTGGCTGAGGACTCGGGAACCGCGTCTTGCCGACGGAGCTGCTCCAACAGTCCCGTTACACCTGCCAAGCGCTGCTTGGTGGCTGTGGAATGTAATTTCAAGCGTTAATCAAGGAGTTCAGAAGTGAAACTCGGCAATTTAGCAAGACCATTAGTCGTAGAAGGAAACAAACAGGGTAAACGCACCTGTAGAGCCTAAAAGTGCTGCTGTTTCCTCCATTCCCAAGTGCAGCTCGATGCGACGTCTGGTATTGCAATGGCGCCTTCTACAGTTTGAATATGGCTGCTGACTATTGGTGGAAAAATGGAGATGTGTTCTCGAATCATGTGGCGTGATGAAAGTTTCTTTCTACCAATTAGAACACAAGAAGGAGTATCCACACGGCTCAGTTCTTCTTCTTCGCTCAGGCTGACATGTCGGCCGGTCCGCGGGTTCGTCGTGCCGCAGCGGCCAATGAGACTGTCGTGATGCGCATATGGCGCTGGGTGAAGATCACGATCTGTAAGTGTCTTCAAGTGATGTGATGGTACTGTAGCGTGTAGTCTGACGGCTACTGTAGGGCACGTGTTCTACGGACAGAATGAGTGGCAGCGTCTGTGCAGCCCGACGGGCGCTACAGTGGATGAGGAGGAGCGCATCGTGCGCTTTCGCACGGAACTTGCGCTATCAACTCAGATGGTGCAGACGTGCAACGTGGTGTTCGACAACGAACCGTTTCCGGTACGTTGAGTCACGGCTCGAGGGTGTCTGGTGCTTGGACTCACTTTTGATTGATTGTGATGCCGTAGATGGAAGCAACACTACATGACGTGGCGACGAGAGCAAAGCTCGATGAGAGAGACGTAACGTGAGTGGAGGTTTAGAATTTTTGTTGTTGGTCGAAATATCTGGTAACTGGTTTGTGCGTGTTGACGCGGATGCTGTGCAGATTGATGACCAACGTGCGCTCGTGCCTCCAGCGCTGCAACTTTGTGAACAAGGTATATGCACGCGTGTACGCGCTGAAGAATGAAGCATACAGCTCGTCGAAGCCCGACCATGAGGAGATGCTGGAGCAACTGTGGACGAACCTGAAGCCGGATATTCGCCGTGAAGGCGGACGTATTACCAAGGAGTGGGGAGAGATTGGCTTCCAAGGTGCGCTCTGCTGGTACTCAGTATCTGCTTATGCATGTGTCTTAACTGCACTGAATTGCTGTGCGTAGGCACGGACCCGATGTCGGATTTCCGAAGCATGGGTCTCCTTTCGCTGGTGCAGCTCAACCACTTCACGAAGAGCTACAGAATTGAAGCCCAGCGGTACGTTTGCAACCGCCCAGCATGAGTGATTTCGCATGAGTAACCCGCCTATGACATTTACTCCTCGTGGTAGTGCTTTGGAGGAGTCGAACCATCCGACCCGCTGGTATCCGTTCGCCGTAACTGGAATCAACGTGACTGCCTTTGTGATCGAGCTGATTGACGAGCGTCTGTTAGACATCAAGCTGTACCGCCATGCTGGTGCTGGTGGAGATGACAATGTGGATTTCGGCTTGAAACAGCTCCACGATTTCTACGGTACGTCTACCGGAGCTCGATCATCCTTCGAATTATAAACTTAATCTTTCTCTTTGTTTGTTGCCTCCAGCCACGATCTTCACTCGTTTCAATAAGCTATGGGTGGACACAAACCCCCGCGACGTGATGGCGTTCCCGTCCATCTTCCAATCGCTCAAGGATGACATCCGCCGCGAGTTGACTTCTAAGTCGTTCCGCTACTGAGGACGCGGCCAAAGTCTGCGACGTGTGACAATTTAACCATAACACGTTACACCAAATGTTTTTAACTTTGCCGCTCCCATCCAATCACTTGTCTCGAAACACATTGCACTGTAAGGGACACGAGAATTAGACGAGCATGGGCACCGGACGGTCGGGATCAGGCAGGGCGCGTGCGCACGCTAAGAAGAAGCAGTACAAACGTGGTCATGCCACCAAGAATCGTGCCCGTGACATCGACCAGATCCAGGATGACCTACGCGTGGAGAAGTTAACGGGAAAGTCCATGGCATTCGAGGAGGACGAGGACCTACCGGGTCTGGGTCAATTCTACTGCACACCGTGCGGTCGCCACTTCATCGACGCCAAGACACGCGATGTACACCTCAAGACCAAGGTGCACAAGCGGAGATTGAAGGACGTCGCACAGAAGCAATACACACAGAACGAGGCTATGCAGGGCGCTGGCAAAGGTGTTGAGACGTACAAGCCGGCGCACCCTAAGGAGACCGATGACATGGACGACCTGTAGAGTTGCTTTGAATGCAGAACCAGCACTGGCATATTCATTTGTAGTGCTGCAGCGTGCAGATTACGAGGATGGCAAATTATTGGTCAGTGTTGCTGTATAAACTTAACGAAACATTCATTACAGAATTGATTGACGAGTTGGCTGCATGTGGAATGGGCTGAGATAGACATGCCGAAAATAGCTGCTCGATATGAACCACTTCTTCAAAAGTCCATGGTTGACCGGCCTCCCTGATTTATTTATCCGTGACAGCGGCACAGGCCATCAGTCTGCTGAAAGTTGTTGTGCTTCGCAAATGACAGGTTGGCCAGGTTCACGTCGTCTGTCTTCAAGCCGAGAGAGTGACAGCATCAATGATGCACAATTCGATGTATGCCATGCTATTTACCAGCACATTTTAAATACCGACGCAGTTTTTAAATATGCGCATGCAAACTGACGCTTGTGATGGTCTTCGTAGCCCCTTCACTCTGCTGCTGTCAGTCCATGGGACAATGTCACCCCAGCAGCAACTCCAATGGAACCTCATCGACCACAACAACGGCACAAGAAGAATGAGGAATTACACCACCCAGCTCCACCAATTGCTCCTCGAAAAATCTCCATCGGTCCTATTCGCCCAGTGAAAGTACCGTGGCTTGTGCGTGACCGCAGCCCAGTTAAGCCAGCCGTTCCAATCGTACCAGCGTTTCCACCAAAACCGAAAAAAATAGCTCCGCTACACTCAGTGAAGGTAAGCTCATTTGGCTGTTTGACTTCAATGCGACATACTATGGGAAAATTCATCGTACATACTTTGGAAACAGATCGCCCGAGCAGGCTGGAGTCGCGCGGACAGACTCAATGCACAGCCTGTCGTTCACGCTTATCAAGAATTATTAAAGCAGACTGAAGCGATGGTAAACTTGTCCATAATACTTTTCCGTGAAAAACAGTAAGAATCTTATGCGTTGGTGTTAGGAATTGGAATCCGCCGAGAACGCTGAAAAGAGGCAAATGGATGACGCTGCCTATCGCATGGGACTGGCAAACATCTCGGATGAAATGGTCCGCAAGCAGAAGGACCTCATCCGCTTTCACACGTTTAAGAACGAAGTGGACATCTTCCAACAGCACCTGGTTCCTTTTATCTTTGACATCCGCTCCGAGCATGAGCGACAAGTCAACTCGAGCGTTTATCGTCACTTCAACCGCATGAGAGCAATCCAGGACATGGGTATCCCCATCTATAGCCTTGGCGAATACCTATTCGAGGACTCGGATCGTATCATTACTGCTCGCACCAAAGACACGTTATACCGCCGAATCCGACGTCGCAGCGCTGCACATTTCATCGACACGGAACTCATTCCTCGCCCGGAGCGACATCGCGGCTCCGTTGTTCAAGCGACAAGCTTGAATAACTAACTGTTAGCTCCTGCCATTCTCCAAAGAGGGCATTATTTGGTGGTAAAATTTATTTATCAGACACAAATGAAATGAAAAAAAAAACAAAGTCCAAAGGTGCCAAGGGATGCGTTGAGCACACACGTGTTTAGGCCAAACCTCGCCAGCTCAATGCATGCCACCCGACCGCGGCCCCGTCAAAGATCAACCGCAGCTACCTTCGCCGCGATCGTGGAGGGCTCGACATCCTGCTTCCACCTCAAGCGAATAAAATGGGCGCGTCGTGGCTGCAGCCATTTCATCCTCTTGCTTTCTCTTCTCCTACAACTACAAAGTCCTCGAGTCGTCCGACATTGTCGTCTGATCCTTCATCTTCCATTCTCGTGAGCGGTCGTCAGGTTTCTTCGTCTTTTTCTCTCTTTTTATTTGGGTTTATGCTCGTGCTTCCTCGGTCGCCCGCTCATCGTCTTCATCACTCTTCGTCATGTTCTTCAGCAGTTTCCATTCGTTTTGTTCACTTCTCATTCGTTTCACGGTCTTCTGCAGAAATGCTATTGATCTCGCGACCAATATCACCTCACAAAAGACACATCAGGCGTGGAGCGGCATTGTCGCGGCCACTGCCAAGAACTTGACAGCGACAACACAACGTGCTCCTCGGACAGGCTACATAGCTCAGTAGCGCTGTCGGCTCATCGGCTTGGCCTCACCGAGAGCGTCGCGACTGGCGCCAGTAGCCACACGAGGGGCGGGGTAGCCCTGATCCATAGCCACTTGCCGGTCGTCACGGTAGCCAGCCGAGCGGTACGACTGCTGGGCCTGCAATTGCGCGTCACCCTCCTTTGTCTCGTCGCGAACGTACACACGACCCTGCGACGCGATCTGGCGACCATCACGGGCAGCCTCCTGGCGCGGGTCAGCACGAGCACTGCGCTCGCCCTCACCGCTAGTGCCACGCTCCCGACGGCCACTGCGCAGATTGAGCACCGTCCAGTCAAACATGGCGTCGAACTGGAAGCCCTTGCGGAAGAAGAGTTCCTTGAACAGACGCTTGAGGTAGGCGTAGTCGGGCTTGTCGTCGAAGCGCAGCGCGCGGCAGTACTCGAAGTAGGCACGGAACTCAGCCGGGTAGCCCTTGCAGAGCACCTCGATGGGAGTGTTCATCTTCTTCTCCATAATCTTCTCGTACTTCTGCTTCTTGGTGTTGGCCTTGAGTCCCTGCCACGGCAGACTGCCGCGGATGAAGTACATGTACACATAGCCAAGCGACTCCAGGTCATCACGACGACTCTGCTCAATGCCCACGTGGGTGTTGATGGAGGCGTAACGAGCCGTACCCGTGAGATTCTTGTTCTCACGGTAAGGAATGTGCTGGTGCGTCTTGGGGTCGCGGTACTTCTTGGCCAGACCGAAATCGATGACGTGCACGATCTGGGCACGTTTGCCCAGGCCGATCAAGAAGTTGTCAGGCTTAACATCACGGTGGATGAAGTTCTTAGAGTGGCAGTACTCGAGACGGCACAGCAGCTGGTCGGCGATCATCAGCACTGTCTTAAGCTGGAAGCGGCGGCCACAGTAGTTGAACAAGTCCTCGAGCGAAGGGCCTAGTAGGTCGATCACCATGACGTTGTATTCGCCCTCAACACCGAACCATCGGAGGCTAGGGACGCCCACTGGAGAAAAATAGCACAAAAAATGCAACACAACACGTTAGCTAAGCAATCGACGGCCGTCAACCTAGAGGGGGACTAAAAAGTTGTAGTACGCACATCCGCCGTTGAGGATCTTGTAGATCTTGGACTCATAGAGTAGCTGTGGGTGCTTGCTCTTAACGGATTCAAGCTTGATGCCAACCTCCTCGCCCGACGTCATGTTGGTGCCCAAGTAGATGTCACCGAAGGAGCCGCTGCCGATCTTGCGGCCCAGGCGGAATTTCTTGCCGACTCGTAGCTCCAGCGCGCTCTCACGAGGGTGGGACATCCTTCTACCGTAGATGGAAAGGGAAAAACTTGGGAAAAAGAGGCTACAGAAGCAGAAGACCAGGGTACACAGGTTAGTTAAGCTCAGAAAGACGCGATTTTGGGCGTCTTCCCCTGCGTCTGCGCGGGCGAGGGGGCTGTCAACGTGAAGAACAGACACAGGGGAGCACGCAGAGGTGCGGCTGGCGGGAGATGACGCCTTGTAGCCGCGAAGAGAGCGGAACGGACGTGACACTTACTAGCTCGGAGGAGAGGCGCGCGCACTGGGTTATGCTGGCTAGGAAGAAAGAAACAGGGGGGGACGGCTCGTCAGCTCGCAACCGTGTGGGTCCAGAAAAAGAAAAGAGTAACCCCATCTGGAGGTTACGATAGAACGACCCAAAGGTTACGACCCCAAAAATGTGTGTGCAGTTATCGTTGCACCGAGATACCCAAATTGTTTAAACTTGATGTCAAACAAACAAGTCATCAAACAACTAAAACAACTGAATGAGTTAAAACGTTATTTCCAATATAATAACCTTTTAAACTCTCGCTAAAACAAAGTTTTTTAGGCAAAGCGTAACTAAATTTGGGCTCCAGATACCCAAAAGCGACTGGCTTGAATCGCAGGTGCGTGCTTCTTTCACAATCAGGCCATCGAACTTAGTGGAGTTCAAGCGAACGATTGCTGGAGTTTATCTATGGGATCGTCAGTCCCGTAATAAGCGCCGGAATGCGTATCAGAGCTTCTGATTCAGAAGCACACACTTTTAGTTGATCCATTTTTGTATTCGCGATGTCCTCCCCACAAGCTAGTGTCTCCGTCCGTAGCACGACCGCTAGCGGCTCGTCCGTCTACGAGTCAGCGCGCGCTGTGCACGAGTATATCCAGTTCCACTACGGTACGTTGAGCTGCATGTATCTGTGCTTCGCTTTCCCTGATCATGCTTTATGCGTTAGAGGAACCGTCGACGGTGGTGCCTTACAGTTTCGCGCCTCTGGACGCACTGCAATTTCTTCCACGAACGGTAGAGCGTTGTGCCAAGCTGACACCTTCTGCTCAGCATTGCCGAGCGCTGGATATCGGATGTGCGGTGGGTCGTGCCACTTTCGAGCTCAGCAAGTACTATGACGAGGTGTGTGCGGAGCGAAGTGGGCAGAATAAGATCGTGCGTTCAATTAGTGATGGGGTACACTTGTAATTGTATTGTAGGCCGTGGGCATCGATTTCTCGCAACACTTTGTCGATGCTGCCAAGCAGATGAAGGAGAAGGGTGCAATGGAGTACGAGGCGCACATCCAAGGAGACATCCACGAGGTTCGTCGTGCGAAGCTTCCCCAAGGTGCTAAGCCGCCCAATGTCGTGTTCCTACAGGGGGATGCGTGCAACCTTTCCCCGACGCTAGGTAAGCCCCGTTCACGTAGTAGAAACGATTATGAGAGTTTTAACCCCTGTTACGTTTTACTCACTGCAGGCAAGTTCGACGCAGTGTTTGCTAGCAACCTGCTGTGTCGCCTGCCCGAGCCCAAGAAATTCCTGATGGAGATTGGAGGGTTCATCAACCCCGGCGGTATTCTCGCACTCGTGAGCCCGTACTCGTGGTTGGAGGAGTACACGGCCAAGGACAAGTGGATTGGCGGTGTGCGTGACGCTGAGGGCAAGCCTGTGGATAGCTTCAGTGTCATCGAGAAGGTTCTTTTGAAAGATTTCGAGCTGATCGAGCGCCAAGACTACCCTTTCATGATTCGCGAGCATGAGCGCAAGTACCAATGGGGCGTGTCCGATGGCACCTATTGGAAGCGCAAGTAAATAGCAGTATGGGCCCTACGTTGTCGTCCTATGCTCTTCACCGCAAAACATCATCGCAATTATGGTAGATTGCGCTAAAGCTTCTCTGATCATCTAACGGCGAGCGTGCAAGTCGATAACAAGATTGTCATTTGTGAGCAGTTTTTCAAGGTACCCGAGTCTAGATTACAAAGGCATTTACACGTCGCACCCGTGAAAGTGAAAATCGTGCAAGCGAAAGTAACCGGGGTGACTTTGACTAGCAGCTAATACTATCGGGAGACTATTGACTGACCTACAGCCAGTGAGTGACTATATTAAACCGAGAGGCGAATGAGACGGAGGCGAGCGGAGAGCAAGCAGAGCGCACGGGAGCTTAACGACCAATCCGCGCAGAGATGCACGAGTTCGCGCGGCACACCTGCTACCTTTGGACTGGGAGTACCTGATCTCATCACGTCTGGGAGATTGCTGCAACGATCGGTCGCACACTTGATATGCTCACCGACTTGGCTTTCGTTTCCAAGCCGCATCGGATCTCTGACTCTGTTTCCGCTCGCATCACGTCAAAATTATGGTGTTTCTGTATGTTTGGGGTGTCTTCGCCTCTCTCAACCAAGTATGTTACGCGTTCACCCCGAGCGCTACTGCGCTTCTCCTTTTCTGTCCGGATGCTCGACTTGATTTTGTGCAGGCGATGCCGTTGCCGCTGTTCCCTGTTGTTGAGGAGCTCCCTGCGGCAGTCACCGCACCGTTCTCGCCGTCTTCTACTGTTCGGCGGTGGTGGTTGTGCATTGGGGCCATTTGCTGTGACTGATGATGATGGTGCAGCGGCAGCGGGTGACTGCGTCGATGTTCCTGCGGCGGCGGCACCTTCGGGTAGCTCTCAGTCACATACACGAGCTGTCCTTCGTGCTGCGGGTCGGGAGCTACGAAATGGCGCAATTGGTAGTAAGGCGAGTGCGGCAGCGAGGAGTTGCGCACACGGGTGTACATATAGTGGTTGGCCAATTCGTTATAGTAGCGTGCATACGTCTCGCTGCTCACATGGAGGCTGAAGTTGATGAGAAGCAAATACTCCACCTCGAGCTCGTTCATTTCGGGACAGGGAACACCTCCCACCTTGGCATAGTAGGCATTGTTGAAATAGTGGTCGTCAAAGAACTTGGCGGCCAGTACGACGCTCGTAATGACAACGCGGTGCACGTTAAGTTCCGTAAGCACAAAGCCCTGCATCTGATGCAGGCGGTCCATGTACACGAGCGCGAGGACGAAGCATTCGGGGCTGCAGCTGGCGTACTTGTGGATGCGCGTGAGGTAGTCCCGCACTGAGATACCGGGTGCGCGGAATGCCTCGAACTTGGTCTTGTGGTAATAGCCGAGGGGCATGCGGTCACTAGCGTGTACCATGGACTCCACGACGACGGCCAGCGTTTGCACAATGGCGCGGCCACGCTCGTCGTTCGAGTCGGCCGTGTCGTCCAGCATCATGGCCATCACTACTGCAGGCCGGCTGCGGGCTGAAAAAGTGAGTGGTGTTAAAGCGCGGGGAGAGGGGGAGGTCGGGGTCCTTACGCTTCCTGTGCCGTGTTCTCTGTCCGGCCTTCCTGCCGGTTGTGGTGTGTTGCGATGATGGCTGGCTGAGGGGGGAGTATCCGAATAGGTAGGTCTGTGGTAAACAGTCCCTCGTAGCAGTGACTGGCCTTGTTCTCTGAGAAAAGGAGCACTCCGAAGGGGCAGCAACAAAGTCGAACTGGGACCGCGAAGAAGCCCTTGCTTCTCTTCTCCGCGCTTTTTTTGGCTTTGCAAAATCCGCATACATAGAGGGGCTACAACGAAGCTCTTCGAGGGTGCGAGAGCACCAACCAATGTTGGTGTAAATTACACTGATAGCGTGTGTTTTTGTGGCAAATCCGGCCAGTTTAGCCCGAAGAACATGGGACACCTCCAGCCTGGAAAAGAAGGCTGTGGTTGGAGACGTCTCTTTAGGATCGATTGAATTCATTGTGTGCATTGGCATGTCTTGCATTTGATAGCTACACTACTGCACTTGTCTGACAGGCATACACATACGTAGATAAGGTTCAACTTCAAGGGACAAGCTTCCGAAAAAAAAAAAAAGAATGGGGTCAGAATTTAGGTATTTGCAAAAAAAAACATAGGATTTAACAGCCCTTGCTGAATTGGTTGGCGCGCAGCATCTCGTATGATACGCCGAGCCGATACAACTTGTATCGGCTCGGCGTTCGTAGGTCATCCTAGTCGCAGTGGACTGTTGCAGCATACTGTACGTGAGCAGGTGTAATATATGAAAAGGTGCGATGCAGCGCAGCAACATAATCGAGCTTACCTAGCTGTTGGGCGAACTGAGCGATTGACTGGTGGCGGCTTCTTTCTGGATACGTGGGCCAGCGAACGCCGCAACACCCTGATACTGTATCGCAAAAGGCTGTATGCCTATAAATTTAAAATATTAGTCGAACTTGGTATTCTTTAAGTGAAATCATACAAGTCTCTAGAAGTTTCTTGTGAACTTCATGGTGGCTTTTCGTCAGCTTTGGGGTTGTTTTCGTATTTCACAAAAAAACAAAAATAACTACTAGGTAGTCATATTTACAATTTTTTCAAACCAGGGAGCCATTTCGAAGCAACGTCCAACATCCCATCGCCATTCATTCAGTCACCTTCATGGGCTCAGGTCGCTCTCGCAAGGGTGCCAAGGCGCCCGCTTCCGGACCTGCCACATTCTCTACATCTCGCGACGATGACGACCTTCTTGTGTCCAAAGGCTCGTCGAAATCTGCGCAGTCGTCGATGCCCAGTAGTCCGGAGATCCAGCTCAAGGTGAACCAGAAGTTCGCGCAGGAATTCGAGGAGCGCAAGCGCAAGGAGGAGCTGTCGATACTGGAGAAGCGTGGCCTCAACGCGAATGACGAAGACGACGAGTCCGATTCGGAGACGGAGGACGAGGATGGAGAAGAGCTTACCAAGGAGCTGGACGCGGATATCAGCAAGACGCTCAAGCTCATCCGTAAGAAGGACCCTGCCATCTACGACTCGTCCATCGCCTTCTTCAAGAAGTCAGAGGCGGAAAGTGACAGCGATGAAGAGGAAAGCAAGACGAGAAAGAAGAAGGGCTCGGCGCCGCTGTACTACAAGGATCTGGTGCGCCAGCAGGTGATCGCGGGCGACATTAGTGGCAGCGAAGATGAGGAGGAAGAGAGCAAGTCCGTGCAGACGTATGCTGAGGAGCAGGCGCAGATCAAAAAGGACTTCCTGGCTTCGTTAAAAGAGAAAGACAGAGATAGCAGTGATGAAGATGAAGAGGAGGCAGACGACCTGGATGGAGGCCTTTTCACGGTCAGGAAAAAGACTGATGGAGAGCAAAAACAGGAGGAAGAGGACTATGCGGAGTTCACTTCCAAGTACGGCACGAAGCTGAAAAAGGACGAACTGGACCCGGAGAAATTCCTCGAGCATTATCTGAGTAGTGAAGGCTGGAAAGACAAGTCTGCGGCTGTCCCGCATTATGACGACATTGTGAAGGAGGACGAGGAAGACGCTGAGGAGCTGGAGAAGGCTGAGGATTTTGAACACACCTACAATTTCCGTTTCGAGGAGCAAGGCAGTAGCATTATCCAGACTCACTCCCGTCACATTGAGGATACGATGCGTCGTGAGGACGACTCGCGTAAGCGCAAACGTGCTGAGCGTAAGGAACGCAAGGCGCTTGAGCGTCAGAAGAAGGAGGAGGAACTGCGCCGTCTTAAGAACCTCAAGCAGGCGGAGATTGAACACAAACTGAAGAAGGTTGCGCGCCTCATGGGCGAGGGTGAAGGCACGGCAGGTCTAAAGCCGGAAGATTTGGAGGGTGACTTCGACCCCGAAGAATACGACAAGCGGATGCAGGCAGTCTTTGACGAGCAGTACTACGACGAAAACGATGATGACATGGAGAAACCTACTTGGGACGAGGAAGAGGATAAGGAGCTGTTTGGTGGTCTTCCTGTCGACCCGGACGAGGAGGCGGAGACCGAAGAGAGTGGTGAGAAGGCAAGCGAGGAATCTGAGGAAGAGGATAACGAGGTGGAGCAGGAACAAGACGGAGACGACGAGGAAGAAAGGGAAGACGAGGAAGCGGAGGCACCGCCCAAGAAGATGACGAGGGAGGAAATGCAGCGTGAGAAGCAGAAGTACCTGGATGAGCTGTACAGTCTGGACTACGAAGACCTGATTGGGGATATTAAATGCCGCTTCAAGTACCGCCAAGTGCAAGACAATGATTTCGGTCTGACGGTGGACGAGATCATGGCTGCAGACGACAAGGAGCTCAAGCAGCTTGTGTCTCTGAAGCGCATGGCGCCGTATGCCGACACCGAGTACTCCGTGGACCGCAAGCGGCTTAAGACTTTCAAGAAAAGCGTCCGGGAATCTCAGGAAGAGAACCGCAGGCGCAAGAATAAAACGGAAAATGTTGAGGCTAACGAACCGCAGGAGACTGAGCAGCCCAAGAAAAAGCGGAAACGTAACAAAAAGAAGAAGCTCGTGGAGGAGGAGGAGGCGAAGCCAGAAGATGACGAGGCGGATGAAGAGGACCCCGAGCCGAAGAGCAAAAAGACAAAGAAAGAGAGTGCAGGGCCGGCAGTGGAGATGGCGTCAGATGAACCCGAAAAGAAGAAGAAACGTCGCAGTAAGAAGAAGAAGGGCAGCGAGAAGAACGCGTACGCATCCACCGGTCTGCCGACTTCTCGACTTGAGTCGTACAAGCTGGTCAAGCCTAGCAAAAAGTAACAGTCTTCTCAATAATTCGCTTCTCAATAGACGATTCATGACTTTGTCAACCTTTCGTCTTCTTGTTCAGGACAGGACGTCCGTTCCCTAGAATAGGTTGGCAATGTTACTTCCGTCCTCCATCTAAGAAGTCATTCACATTCGCAATGGCTGCGCTGCCATCAGTCGCTCCAGTCTCGTCGAATTCACCCTTGGCAACTGGCGTTGTTGCTACTGCGTTTGATAGACGAGGGTCGAGACAGTCTCGAGTTGCTCGACGGAGTGGAACTGCTCCTAGTCCCACAACCGGAACACCGACAACGTGGACTGCGAGCAACGAGAAAACGTCATCAACGGAGAATGAGAGCGACAACAAGGTGCAGCGATCGACGTCATCAGCTTCTCAATCAAGATCGAGTAAATGGAGTGCACTACGTCGCGAGATTCTGCCCAGTCCAGCGCTCATGACGGTCAGTGCGAAGGTTCAGAACATTATCGAGTAAGTTGTAGAAGATAAACGTTGGTCTTGCAGTTGTTGACCTGCTTTTGCTTCGTCTGTAGCATGCTGAAGAAGCCCCCAGAGGACCGCTCAGATAATGATATCCTTTCTTCCCCATGTTACTGCTCTGACTACGTATCCACGACTGCACGTACAAATTCCTGCAAGGGTTTCCCTTAACCAGTTTTTTTTTCTCTGCACACGTGAAGATTCTGTATCAATGGCTTATGAGCCAGGAGAAACTAAGTTCGCTCTTCACGACAATGTCTGAAGTGTCTGCTAAGAAGTTATGCAAGGAGATGGAGTTTCTGCATCTTAATAGTGGCGAAGTCGTCGTCAAGCAGGGCGAGAAGGGCAGTACATGCTTCGTACGTTTTTTCGTACACATCGTCTTGTTCATTACAGTGTCACTTACGTGCATCGTGAACTTTGGTCGTAGATTCTCATGAGTGGCCTCGTGGCGGTGTACGTGCGCAGTCCAGAAGAGCAGATTAGGCATCAGCGGCTTATGCGCTCAAACTCTGTGTCCTCTAGCTTGCGTCGGCTTGTAAGTGGTCGGCTTCGTAGCATACAACAATGATCAATCTCACGAATCGGCTGTAGTCAGCAGGAACGGGCATTAACTATGGGGCCAAGGTGGTAACACTGACGCCTGGTGCAACGTTCGGGGAGCTCTGCCTCATTGAGCCAGACTCCAAGCGTAGTGCTACAGTCGTGGTTGATCAACAGGCCCAAATGGCCAACTTCATCGTACTCACAGCTGCATCCTATCTGCGTATGACGCGCAGCCAAACAATTGAGGTACGCTGAATTCAACAGCACTGCTTTACTGATTTGTCGATTAACTAACCTCGTTTCATCACGACAGGGAACTATCACCGACAACATCGCCTTCTTACAGCATTTGCTTATTTTCAAGAACTGGAGCAAGATGCGTACGTCGATACCTGAAACTTGGTTGAATTATGCGTTCTCTTCATCAATCCTTATGTGTGCGCACTCATTCTTGCTTTAGAGCTCATGCATATTGTGAATTCGATGAAGCTTGTCAATGTATCAGCCGGAGTATGTATTTCATTTGTCTTGCCCTCACGTGGACCTTGCCAACTGATATTGTATATTTGCACACAGCAATACTTGACGCGCAAGGGCGCCGAGGCGGATTCCTTCTTTGTCATTTTGCGTGGAGAAGCTATAGAGAGTGTCAACCTTACAGTAAGCGAAACTTCCGAGATGAGGTAAGCACTGCAGTTTTGGTTGACTGTGTGATGAGGAGCTTCTCAAGGTTGCCGCTCCAGTATGGGAGAAGTGCGTGGTGTACAGCGAAGTATCACAGTCGAGCTCACTTTTCTGGGTAAATTTGACGTGGCCGGTGAATATATCGCGTCTGAGAAGAAAATGGCCATGTGCCCTGTGGATATTCGCGCTGCCACTGACGTAGACTGCCTTGTACTCACAGTAAGAACTCGTTGTTACTTAACTTGAGTTACGTCGTGTACACGTACTAATGATCATTTTATATTTCCAGAAGAAAATGTTCATGCTACATTTCGGTGGTAAAGAGTTAAAGCCTCACGTAGTACCAACACGGAGGCGCCTAGGCAAGATTGCTGAAGCTCGAGAAGCTTGGCGCGAGACTCGAATTTTACAGGCATTGCAATACCCTTCCCTGCGTGTCCCGATTACTCGCAAACTTATGCGTCTAAGTGGAAATTGCTGCTTGATCTGTGGGCGACGCACGCATGTTGCGGGCGATCCCTTGTGCATGGAGCTACCATCATACTACATGCTTGACGAGAAGCAGAAAAAGCGCGAGCAGAAGGAAAGAGGTCGCACAGCGAGTAAACACCGCATCAGTGTAGTTTCTCCGCCTTCTTCCGGTGTGGATAGTTCAAGCCCAGCTAGGAAGCCGTCAATGATGTCGAGTCCAATTCGAATAGATCTACCGTCGCTGCGTGAGCATGATCACGAGGATCATCACGAGCTCCAAAGTCCAACACGCCTTGGTGTGCAACTTGTGAGTCGGCAATGGCAAGAAGCCGAAAAGAACCGAGTTGTCCGCTTGCCACAGCGACCAATGGTAGGAGACATGTGAGAGCATTTGGTCATACTTCTTTGCCATACACTAACTTTTTATGCGGCATCACCTTGAATTCCGTGTACAGACAACGCCTTCAGGAAAGCGGGCATCACCGCTAGCAGTGACTTCAATCACACGTTCGTCTCACATTACTCGTCGTCAGGAGGAAGAAGAACAACAACGCCTGCTAAAAGCCCGCCCTCTTAAAACCCGCAATATCCAGGAAGAACTTCAGCACATTCGAGATACTTGGCCGAACTGCTGGAATTACGACGATGAAATGCAGACACGACCACGACCGCGGTCTCCGCTGACGTCACCAAGGCCTCCTAGACTTGGCCAACAAAGCGGAAGCCTGTCAGCTCGGACATGAATTGTCTGATATCTGCCACGAACGTAACATCAGCCTGTCACGTCAAAAGTGAGAGAATCCCACATACGAGTAAATGGCTCCACAAGGCATGCGAAAGTCTAGCAAAGAAGGCAAAACCGGAAAATACTTTATCACTTTGGGGTAACTCTGAATCCACACAGCCATCCATGCCCGGACAGCTACCAACGAAGCCCCTCATCAATTTTTTTTCACGTATCCCGCTCATGCGGTAAACAAGTGGCAGGAGGAAGCGCAGCTAGACACGCATCCTCCTTCCTGACAGGATCACATATACACCGCGAGAGGTTGCACGCTACACCACCCAGTTCGCCAACCACCGCCAAACGTGTCCACGTACTCCAGCTTCACATCGCTATACTCTTAAAACGCAACTTCCTTAGTGCCTGCTGGCGGCGCGCTAACTTCTTCGTCTGCTGGCTGGGAGACTGAGCCATTCGTAGGGGGTTTGCGAGCCGCCAAGTGAGCAGCCTTAAACTCCACCAGATCTTCCTGGTACTCTTCTGACTGCATATACTGAGTCACCGTCTCACCCAACACGTTGAGCACCTCCACCTGCTTGTGGTCGATGTTGTCACGAGCGTAACGATCCGCCACACACAGGTCACCTACTACTTCACCGTTTACCAGCAACGGAATACCGACGAAGAACTGCAACTTAGCTGTGAAGCGTTTCTCGCCTGAAATACGCTTGTCCGAGCTCACGTCGAGCACAATGCATGGCTTACCACGAGTTGCTAGTCGTCGAAAGGTTGGTAGACTTCGGGGGAGACCTGGTGCCGGCTTGCCGTCATAATACCTCACGAGCTCGAAATCTTCGGTGCGAATACCTGCCATGGGGCATGTCAACGTCTCCATAGCCAACATGCAGATTTCCTCCATGTCCTCGTTGAAATAATGGATACGACGATCCGAGTTCTTCTTCCTGCTAGTAGCAATACTTGCATTGGACGCGGTTCTACCCATGGAACCAATCGGTCTACCCTCGTAGCCCGTTCCTCTTCCTTGACTTGAAGTTGAAGACGTTTGTCTGTGGAAAGGAGGCGGGCTGCTACCCCCATCGTCACTCATTTGCGCAGTTGCGTCAAAATCATTTAAAGATAAGACTGATCCCTTGTACTGCATCGGAGGAGGAGTCGACGAAGCCGGATTGTCGTTAGGTGGGCTGTACGATTCATCCGAGGTCAGCGAACTCGTACTACCGATACTAGTACCAACACCCATGCCGTTCGGAAGTGGCGTCATAGCAGCGCCGCTGTTCATCTCTAGCTCTGTGCCATTGCTGCTAACCATTCGAGACGACGGGTTCGAGAATCCGCCGATCATGGTGCTTCCAAAGTTCGGATTCCCCGCATTGCCATTTGAACTGCCACTCTTCGCCAAGCACGCCTTGCAAACTCGCACTTTCGCCGCCACATCCTGATCTCCCTTGACCATCTTAAACACGGTACAAGCAGAACAGACTACTTCGCCGCACACTCGGCAGTGGTGACGTCGCTTCAACATACCGAAAGACTGTACACACAGCGAGCAATTGGTGCGCTGAGCATCATTCACCCATTCCTGTCGTTGCGCGAGCGCTGCTGGGGCGAACAGAGCCTGTTGTACCGCTTTCTGCATGCCTGAGAGGTCTCCCGCAAGCCTCAACGACGTTAGTCGGACTCCAGCTGACACACTTTCTCCACCTCGCGCTTTACGCATCGCAAACGTCAGCGTGACGTTGCACATGTTGGGATCTTCCGGGGTCTGCTGCACCACGTAGGAACTCGGTTCAAACACTGTCAAACTGTAAGCATCTGGCTTGCCGCGGATGCCATAGCGCGCCGCCGCACCATCATACGACTCGAACTTAAGCACACCCACATTGCCGTGCACCGGGTGGTTGGGCAGCAGCACGCAATACTCTCGGATGCAGAATTCCTTGGAGCGGCCAAGGGTTTTGGGGGACGAGTATACGAGCCACTTCAGCGTCATCGACTCAATGGAGGCACCGTCGTGAACAGAACCGGCATCTGCCTGATGCGCGTGCAATACCTCTCCGTCCAGAAAGTTGCGCGAGTGCAGTAGCTTCTGGAAGCCCTTGAGACTCGCGTTGTCCACAGCGCGCAGACACTCGAGCACGTCGGGCACAGAGCCCGCGATTTTAGTGACAGCACGCACGGAATAGGAGAGCCTCTCGCTGTTCTTGGAGTGCAAGTACACCATGGCGTTATCCTTGCGGTTCTCAATCGCCCAGACGCTCATGTCCGAGGCGCTGCGCACAAGTTCGTCCACCTCCGCACGTTCCGATAGGTACAGCGCATCTAAATCCACATCCGCCGGCCACTGCGAGGCCACTGTGGGTCCGCGTGCGTACTCGGGCGAGCCTGGAGTGCCGCTGCTGTTGGGGACGTCGCCGTTCATCGATCTGTCGATTGTTCGAAGTAACGGTTAGAATGCGGAGGGAGACGGCAGCGTATATGTACCTACCTACCTACCTGCAGCTACAATAGGGACGAATATAGCTCAAGGGAGGGGGTGTTGCCGCGGTTCCTTCCGCCCTGGTTGGAGCAATGCCGTAGTGCCGTAGTGTCTGTCGCCAGTCCGCAACTCCGCACTGGCTGCGGGACGTTCGTTGCGACCTTCCCCCCTTCGTAGCGGCTATGCACGTCGCACCAAGAGGCACGCGGTGTGAAAATTGTGGACTGAACTGAGGCTTTTTTTCTACCAATCAGAGACCGTTGCTTTGTACTTAAAGTATGTAGCGAAGTATAGATTTTGAGCAATTGTGCGAGCTTCCAGCGCTCTGTGCTTGCTTTCCTACTCGTTGAGCTGATCGAGGTTGCCACGGCAACTTGCCCAAGAGAGGCTACCGAGATGGTAATGTAAGATACACACTCGATGGGAAGAAGCCAGCGAGGTCACCGCCAGCTCGAACCTCGAGGTGACCGCCATCCGTATCTCTTACAGTGAAGGCCAGAATCGGCCATGCGGGTGATGATGAAAGGCTCGACTCAGAGCTCGGCTGCTGCGAGAGTCGCCGCAAAAGATGCCATTCGGTGTGATACCTAGCCAAATGGTCACGCAGCGCCCAGCTGTCGCCCGGGCTCAAATAACAGCGCCGCGGCATAACACGCGCGTGAACATTTTCAAGGCGAGTGGTTGCCTCCACCGCCATGTCGCGCTCTTGCTTGACAGTTAGGAAAACACAGAATACATGTACAAGTTTCATGCATCAACATTACCATTTGCAGTACAGAAGGCAGTACCGTAGCTGACGAAAAAACACACCCGCAAAATTATCCCCATAAAAATGCTTCTCTAAATCCAAAAAATATACATTCGATTTTTTGAAAACCCAAAACTTCAGTGCCATTTTTGACACTAATTCTCAATTTTGTGAATTGAGGGCACAGAATAGTCTTAATCGATCCGTCGTGGAATTTTGCGTTAAGGAATATTTTGTCGCCGAAAATGCCACACTTTTCGTCATGACATGGTTAGGGGTAATTTAACAACATTTTTTCCTGGAAACAATCCCTTATGAGCTTATTTTTCGCGTTGATGCTATTTACAATTTTCGATACGTCCTTGATGTTACGAGATATAGAGCTGAATCAATCACTACTATAAAACTTATGGCCATTATCATAAGGTTCTTTTCGTTGAGGGTATCGCAAAATGTCAAAAGAAAATATCTAACTTATCCGGATAGTCAGTTTGATGGAATGCCAAACTTGAGCGTACATGTTCAATAGCTAGTACCACCGACACAGTATTCAATATCAGTAATAATCATTTTAAAGATATTTAGCTTAATTAAACTATGGTAAGAGGGGGCAAAACCATTCAAATAGAAAAATAACCAAGACTAACTTACATCACTTCAAACATCCTGATGGAGAGAAATACAGCACATTTAATCTAATTTGGACGCATATTGTACAATGGTGCTCGGACTATGTTACAGCGCACAATTTGGTCCGAATTTAGATCTCTTTTTTTTTTACAGTAATAGCTTCTATTTCTGGAAATAAGTCGGAAATACTGTAAAAGCTGAATTACAAGCCCCTCTGTATTATAACCACCCCAATTGGGACATTGCCACTACCTACAGCCCCATTCTATTAGAGCCCCAGTACTGAATTAGGTTAAGAAGCCCGATCTTTCTTGGTTAGGCATTAGCTCTACAGACCTAAGTTTGCCACCTTCTACCTGGCGAATAGCCTCAGGAGATCGTGGAAGAGGTGTCCCAGCTTCTCCTTGCTAACGAAGGCAGCGACATTGACATCGATGACGTCAAAAACGACTTCATAGAGATGCCGCCTTCTTGGCTAGTAATAGCGATATAACTTGTCTTAGTGCATATTTTACGGTGCCAAACACTGTAATTGAACCCCTTTATTGGTTTAGGAGGGGCCGGACTTGTAATACCGCTTGTACAGTATTTTACCGGTAGTTATTACCACACACACACATGATTTTACCTAAGCAGACAATTAATACTATAACATCTTAATATACTGCTAGTAATAGCCTTCCATGAGGTTCAAATGAAAACTACTATTGAGCAGCTACCTTGCTAAAATCAGATTCAATATTACCACTAATACTAACAGTAGTTAGATTACTTTTGTTGCTCGGAGGTGTGCTTGGGCAAACAATCGTCACATGAGTGAGCGGTTTGTCGCGCAGAGCTAGCAGCGGGCCACAATCTGCCGGTCATCACCAGATTCCGTGCCTCATTCCTGCTCATTTTGCGATGATCAAGCAGCGCAATAAATCTCTATCCTACTCACATTTTTACTTTGTAACGACCACGAGCTCTGAATGCTCGTGCGAGATAGGACTGATTCTTCAACTATCGCAGCCGCGACGCCCCTCATTGCGCAACGCTGACCTATGCCAGCGATTCCACAGTGCTCATTCCTTGTAATCGCCATCGATATCGGAAGAAACCAAAACGGCGCTCCATAATTCGTAAGACCACAATTGATTCTTGTTAGATTCTCAAGCACCAGATCTCGCTCTTGCTGAGTCAGCCGCCGCTCACGGCACCCTCAATTGACTTTAAGATTCCATCAACATGACGAAGCGGGGAGCCCTCCTAGTCGAAATGGTTGTTATCAAGATAGTATTAAATAAGTATATATTATTTTATTGTCGTCAATTTTACACAGTTGGTATTAAAATACCAATTGTGTAATACTAGAGTCCAGAAAGGAGGATACATGATTTACTACACCAGCCGTTCCACTAGTGTATCAATCCCTGACGTTCTTCTGCACGGGGGAGACATGATCGCTGCCGTCGCCGCACCAACAGAATATATGGATAGAGCCCGGTCTGCAGTTGTCTGGCAAACAACAACAGCGAATGCTCTTGCCTCAGCACCCTTGTGTACGTCAGATTCTTTGATTAGACTCCACGGCCTGATCAGTGACGCGTCCCTCGCAGCAAATCAAAAGCTGGAGCACAGTCGACTGACCATCACTCCGATACAAATCGAAGGCAAAAGGCAACTTGAAGTCTACGTGAATACTTAGAAGTAGTAGCTTCACACCCGATCGCTCACTTTTCGATCTGCACCATCGGAACCAAAGTACTTCCTGCTGCCGCGATGTCGCTATATCTGCGCGCTCTGAAGCCTCGCTCCTCCCAGTGGCGGCGCTTTTTAACTTCCAGCGCGCGCGCCTTCCCTGCCACTCCCACCCCCGCGTTCCCGGACGAGTATCCGCATGCCGAGATCGTGACGGACCAAGTACCCGGCCCCAAGTCGCAGCAGCAGCTGAAGCGCCTCGCTGCGCTGCAGAATACAGGTGCCATTAACTTCTTCGCGGACTACGCTGCCAGCAAGGGCAACTACTTGGTGGATGTGGACGGAAATCGCTATCTGGACGTGTATGGCCAGATCGCGTCGCTGCCCATCGGCTACAACCACCCCAAGATCCTTGAAGCCATGACCGACAAGGAGAACCTATCTATGCTGGCACAACGGCCATGTCTTGGCGTGTTCCCTCCCTCTGACTGGGTGGATCGCATCGACGACACGTTGCTCAAAGTAGCTCCAAAAGGGCTCGAGGATGTCAACACGCTAATGTGCGGCTCGTGCTCCAACGAGAACGCCTACAAGGCTGTATTTATGTGGTTTCAAACCAAACTGAGAGGCGGACGTCCACCTTCCGATCACGAACTCGAGACATGCATGACGCATCAGTTGCCGGGCACACCCAACTTGAGTATTCTGTCCTTCCAGGGAGGATTCCATGGCCGCTTGCTCGGTTGTCTGTCGACGACCCACTCGAAAGCCATTCACAAGGTGGATGTGCCGGCGTTTGACTGGCCTGTTACGCCGTTCCCGAAGCTGAAGTACCCACTGGATGCTCACCAGGCTGCTAACGAAGCGGAAGAAGCGCGCTGCTTGGACGAGGTCGAGAGGCTGTTGAAACACAGTGCCGAGGTGACGAATCCTGAGGACTCTCGTATTGCTGGTATGATTATTGAGCCGATTCAAGCGGAAGGAGGAGACAACCATGCGAGTTCTGTGTTCTTCCGTAAACTTCGCGACCTGGCTGCCGAGTATGGCGTCGCATTCATTGTGGATGAAGTCCAGACTGGAGGAGGCAGCACGGGCAAATTCTGGGCCCATGAACACTGGAACCTTGACAACCCACCTGACATCGTCACGTTCAGCAAGAAGATGCAGACGGGTGGTTACTTTGCCAAAGAGGAGTTCCGTCTCAAAGAGGGCTACCGCATTTTCAACACTTGGATGGGAGACCCCACCAAGATGATCACTCTGAAGGCAGTCCTTGATGTGGTCGAGAGCGACAGCTTGCTAGAAAACGTCAACATCACCGGTGACTACCTGAAGACCGGGTTGCACGAACTTGCTGCCGAATTCCCCACTCTGGTGACTAACGTACGCGGCCAGGGCACATACCTGGCCATGGACTTCCCGACGGAAGCCGTGCGCAACGAGTTTGTTAGCCTGATGAAGGCAAAAGGTGTTGCATCTGGAGGCTGTGGAGTCAACTCAGTGCGATTCCGACCAGCCCTGGTTTTCCAGCCCAAGCACGCAGCTGAATACTTGGCCAAGATGCAGGAGGTCTGCAAAATTCTCAGCAAGTGATGAAGCAAAAGCATTTCCAGCTGGTGTCATGATGTAGATCGAGCTTAGTAGAATCAAAGTCACCTGTGGAATGAACTTGCCGACCGTAGTCAAATTCATTGCGCTTTTTGAGCAGTAAACAGACCGCGATATATTTGCGGTTGGCTATCCGTTGTGCACCGAGCTAACCGACTTTGGCAAGGGTCACACAGCGTCTGTGGCTGGACAACGTGTAGCTGTAAAACAAGTTCACGAGGCATCGCTGCGCATTTTGGCTTCAACTTCTTCGTTTGACTTGCCGGCAAGATGAGCGTCAGCATTAAGGTATCAATTCGATGCAGGCCGTTCACGTGCGATGACAAGCTGGGAGTCGTGATGACGCAAAATGGCGAGGAAGAGGGTGACGTGGAACTTATCAACTCAACGTATTCCACCACGAGATTTCCGTTTAGCTACGCGTGGTGGAGCGCTTACGGCTACAAGCGGCACATCCAGGGCGATGCTCTTCAAGCCGACAATATGACCCTTGTCGACCAGCAAATGGCTTACGAAAGCGTCGGGCGCAAGATCAAGGCAGACCTGATGGGAGGAAATGCCGTCGTACTCTTTGCCTATGGTCTTTCTGGATCAGGAAAAACCTTCACCGTATTTGGGGTGGGGATTGTTTGTGATGGCGCTTTCGTTTTTATTATGCCTTGCTAACTAAGTGCTATTCAACTAGCCGGATGCTGTTGATATTCCTGAGGCGTGGTTCAAGCACGAAGAACCCCATCCGTTGGTAAGAGCGTCGACATATTTGAATATGTACGTTCGGGATACTAATTTTTTGCCATCGATATTTACCACTAAAGTGGGGCATTTTTCCTCGTCTTGCATACGAGTTGTTCAAGGAGAAGCAAGACGGTTGGAAGATCTCGATGAAGTACTTTCAGAATGTCGTTGACACCGTGCGAGACCTTATGTCACCTGTAGCTCAGGAGCAACAGTACAAGTCCGGTATGCGCAAGGATCCCGATGGATTCACAGATATCGACTGGTGCCAGTCGGTTGTGCTTAAAGACTGGAACGACTTGCGCAGAACTTTCATGGCGGCCAACGCAAAGAAAGCTATTGCACCGACACAATTCAACCACCAGTCCACGCGTGGGCACTGCATTATGACACTCGAAGTAGAGAAACCCGACCCGGAACGCGAGGGTATGAAACAAAGAGGTCGAGTTTATGTGTGTGATCTTGCCGGTACGGAGCCTGCTGGTGACATCGTTTACGCCGACTACAAAAAAGTCGTCTTTGAAAACGGAGAAATCGAGCACAAGTACTTGGGGCCTCACCCCGATGCCTCAAAATCCAAAGAATTGCAGGACCAGGGCAAGAAGATCAATCTTTCACTGACGGAGATGGCGCAGTTTTTCATGAAGATGGCGGAAGCTGTCAAAGCCAATAAGCTTAAACCGGGCATGTCGATTCCGGGATGCAATTCGTACTTCTTGTGCAAATATCTCAAGGACACGATGCTGCAAGCTCGGACATATCTGTTTTGCGCCATTCGCCCCGAAGTCAAGTTTCACGGCTATACGTTCTCTACACTGGGCTTCGCCAAGAACGCTTCGGTTATCAAGCTTCAACCCAAGAAAGCTTCGACTGCTGCAAGCCCAGCGGAACGAAAGCTCATGGCGGAACTGGAGCAGATGAAAGCACTCGTAAGCCAATTGAAGGACGAGAACGAACGTATCGCGAAAGTGCGCAGTGTTTCTGCGGGATCTTCGGCTGAAGGCGGCGAGAGTGCGGAAGTTTCGGGTGGTGATGATTCAGCTAGTGCACAGGTCGCGCAATTGGCTGAGCTACTTAACCAGAAGCAGAAGGAGCTGGAGAATGTGTTGAGCGGAGGAGGAGGTGGGGCTAGTGGTGGCATGAGTGTGCATGATGAAATGATGCAGCGCCAACGCGAGGAGTACGGCAAGCGCGGCATCCACTTGTATCACTTCGAGGCCGACACGACGTCGCCTTATCTTATTAACCTGGATGTCGACGCATACCGGTCGAAGAGATTTATGTTTTTACTGGATAAACCTCATTTGACGGTGGGCCCACAGGGAGATATCCAGCCAATGTCGCTCAGCATAGTGAATAACCATTGCTCGTTTGAGAATGATGGCACGGAGATCTTCCTTTCTGCCGGAGCCGGGGAAGTCATACGCAACGGGAAAAAGATCGAGAAAAATGCACGCATACAGCTTGTGCCCTACGACCGTGTCGTGATTGGAAACGAGCTCATGCTCTTCGTCTACCCGGGTCGAGAGCCTGATGGAGAGCCACCTTCTGCAGATACTGCTGCTGCAGAGTACAAGGAGGCTCTACAGACCGTCGATACTTCCGCAATGAACGAATTGCAAGAGCAAATGAAAAAATTCGAGGAAGAGAAGGCTCGATGGGAGAAGGAACGACTGGAACGAGAGGCTGCGGCAGCGGAAGCGGCGGCGGCTGCCGCGATCGCCGCAAGTGCTAATAACGCTGCAAACTCTGCTGCGGCTGAAGCTGCGGCTGCGGAGGCCGCTGCTGCGGCAGCTAAAGCGGAAGAAGAAGCAAGATTGGCTGCAGAGAAGCAACGTGAGCTGCTGGCTCGGCAGGTGAATGACCAGGAACTTCGGGAAGTACTACCCAAGATCGCGGAGCTCACACAGATAGTCAAATTCCTGAATCGTGATGTTCTCAGCTTTGAGACAGCGCTACAGAGCTCATCAATGGAAGACAAGGATGGCAATGGTGCTACTGGTATTCCGAAGGTCAAGGTCAAAGTTTACAACAAGGCCACGGACGAAACAATTTTTCTGGACGTGTTCGAGTTCGTGAAGGCTCATGCACTGCTGAAAGACGAAGTTGCTTTTCTTCGCAACGCGCTTATGAACGACCGCGAATATGAATCACCAGCAGGTCACGACCCGATCACGTTACTTTTTGACAACTCGTTCCACATTGGCAGCGCCACTACGTTCCTCGAGTATTTGCTGTACAATTTGGAGACGGAGCCGGACGAGTCTCAGCTCAGTATCAAGCTGGCCGTTCCGCCGTTTAACACTATCGGAAAATTGCAAGTGATATGGATACCGCTATCGTCTCCAGATCCTGAGAAACACAATGAAGACGATCTGATGGACGTCGAAAGCCCGAGCGATCTCCTTGGGAAGCCTTGGACATTTAAAATTCGCATTGTAGGAGCAACCGGGCTGCCGATCATTACGGATTTGGCCTACTGCCAATACGAATTTCTCGGGGAGCTCTTCACAACTGAAAGTGTCGAGCAGAATACTCGAAGCCCCGTCTTCAACTACGAGTTTATTCATCATGTAGATTGCGTCACTGAGCAGTTTATCGAGTACCTCCAGAGCGCACGCCTTGAGTTCCAGGTATTTGTCAACCCGTACATCCTCGATCCGCCGAAAGACAAGATCTCTACCAAGAATCCCGCCATCGCTGCGCAACTGAGCGAGGGACATGCAGGTTCGTGTATTATCCTGGTTGATGTTCTTGATTATGTTGTTTTACTGATCGTCTTCTCACTCGCACCGGATCTTGTCGTCCACAGCCAAACCAACGACCGAAGAACTAGAAGCAAAGTGTGTTCACTTAGAAAAGAGCCTTGCAAGCGTGACAGAGGATCTGAATTTCTTGAGAGAGCAGTATCGTGCCGCCGTTGGAAGGTCAGGCTACAACTGTCTCGTTACTCCATGCGTTGTAGTGTACTCAAATGACTTCCTGCTTGTAGTGAGCCTCCAACACGCCCTCTACCAAGCCTAGCTGATTTAAACAACATCTCCAAGAGCCCAACACACTCAGCACCGTGCACTCCACGAAAGAAAATTGAATCAGCCAAAGCTAATGATATTCGGCTAAACAGCCCGACGGCGAAGGACAACACAACTACTCCGACCACGCCCAATCGCACGGCGACTGAGTAAGTAGGTCATAGGCTGAGAATACTATCAGGAATAAGCAAGATTGCATTACAATCCATGCTTTCATGCTCTTAAAGTGTTAAAGTGGATCGGGTTTAGAGGCCAGTCATCATTACTCCAGGTATACACGCTGCTCATATTTTTAGACAAACTGTGCACGACTGTTATGACTTCAGCCATTTGCCGTTGTACCACTTCTAGTGAGGCGACTTCGCGAAACTGGTGCCCAAACTCGATGGAAGACAAGCAAGACGTTGTAGTTGCCCGCGAAGCTGCCGCGAGGTCAAAGTCCATGCTGCCTCGAGTCCAAGTCGAGGACATCCAATTCGAGGTAAGTATTGAACGCTAGATCATGTTTGTCGGTGCTATATAATTTACAAAAAATGCTCCTTTATTCAGATTGACCATGAGGTTCCACCACGTAGACAAACTATCAGCACTCAGCTACCTCCGTCTTCAGCAGCAGGGGGCCGGAAGGGCTTCAGCAACAGCATGAGCACGGGCACCCCTCTAAAAATTCTCATTGCTTCCTGGAACGTCGGTAATACCATGCCGCCCAAAGACTCCAAACTATTAAACGAATGGATTCCAGAGGGTGGTGGCGACTTTGATGTCATCGCATTGGGGTTACAGGAAAGCACCTACAAGAGTGAAAAGATTTCCGAGAACTTGGTGAGAGCGGATAGTTTGCACACGTCGAATGCCAAAGCCGATGAACAAGACGTAGAGGAAAACGAGACAGACCCTCCTACGCTGAATAGCGTCCTCGATGCTACTGAGGTCGACGATGTTGAGGAAGAAGACGAAATGGAGGAAGAGGAAAGCGAGACAAAAACTGATTACCCGGGAGATAAAACAAAGAGACGTGGCTCATTGGACTTATCAAGCACCGATGAAAACAGTAGCCCCAGCAGTGAGGCAATGCGCACTGCTCGTGTCGGGTCTACGGAAACGAGCAATTCTAGCACAATTGATGCCAGCAAGTCTTCGGATGTAATTGTGAAGCGGTCTCGTACCAAGAAGTCTATGCGCAAGATGACCAGGATGGTGCGACAGTTAAGCAGCAATCTGCGCGACACAATGGGAGATACCCACGACTATCCATTCAGCAAACAGATTTATCTGCATCTTGGTGATAGCTACGTTCTAGCAGGAAAAGTAGAATTGATGGAGATGCGGTTGTTCGTCTACGTTCACGAACGCAACAACGTTTGTGATGTGGAAAAGCTAGCAGTTCCCACGGGCTTGGGTAGCGTCATCGGAAACAAGGTAATTCTGCTTTCTTAAGAGTATTCCTGTATACTATTACCGAAAAACTAACCTGCAACCGGATTAGGGTGGTCTGATATTCAAGTGTGTCGTCGAGAACACCTCACTCTGTTTTGCTAGTTGCCACCTGGCTGCACACCAAGACCAAAAATTCCTCGACAAGCGCAACAGCGACGTACGTACTAGACTCCCTTTTAGTCTTCGCTCTGATCGTGTAGCTTATATTGCTCTTCTACAGTGCGCTACCATCCTTGGTGCTCAATTCGGGCAAAAGAATGTGTCAATCGATCACCAGTTCGACCACTGCTTCTGGTTTGGTGATCTGAACTACCGCCTGGATTTGAGCTACTCGGCTCCTCGCCAACGCAACCACGAAAAGCACTGCGCCGAGGTCATGACACTTGTACGAGCCAAGAAGTGGGTTACATTGAACCAAAACGATCAACTGAAGCATCAAGTTGAAGACAAGAAGGCGCTAACAGGATGGGAACTACCGCCGGCGCTTTTCCCACCAACGTTCAAGAGAGTGCGGCACACTCTCGACGAATACTTGGTGAGACTTGCATTTGGTTCGAATTCAACCTGTTTCTTACGCAGTGTCCTCGCTGTTTGTATAGCTAGAGCGCGTACCCTCATACTGCGATCGCGTTCTGTACAAATCGCTGCCTGGATTGCGTGGCAATCTGAAGCTGCAGCGGTTCTCCTGTTTTGAAGCAATTGCTACCAGCGACCACAAACCCGTGGCGGCGGCATTCCAGGTCGGCCAAACACCACACATCAACTCAGGTTCAACGGAAAATTCAACGCTTGTCGAAATCTCCGACCTTACCGGCAAAAGCCTCCTTGGGCTCGACCTAGCTGGTCTTAGTGACCCGTACGTCAAGTTCTACTCCACCCCTAGTAACGCGGTTCAAGTAGACGCGAGTGGAAGCCATCCGAGTACGGCAACGATCTCGAACACTTGTTCGCCAAAGTACGTCGACACTGTTTGAATCCCCGCCCTGAGACGACTAACTTCTTTTTTTTTTTTTTTTACGAATCCATGAAGGTGGCGAGACGATCAGGTCCCCAAGCTACACGTACTGTGCGATAACGAGCGCGACGTGAAACACGTTCATTTGACCCTAGTCGTCATGGACTATGACGCCACCTCGAAAGACGACTTGATGGGTAAGTCGTTGCTAGAATGACCTACGACATGTAGATTGACGATACTCATCTGTGCTACATGAATATTGGTAGGTGTTGCATCGGTGTCTTTGGATAAATTCTGCCAGAGTCGACCGCGCTTCATTCCGTTCGAAGTCCCAGTTGTCCTTAACGGAAAAGCTGCAGGCACCCTCACAGGAAAAATTCGCATCACACTTCCTGGTCAAGACACCCCACTTCCAGAAGAAACAGGACCACAACTGATTCGAGTGGCAGGATGTCACTGCACCCTGTCCTAAGAAGTTATAACATCACCAAAAGTGAAGCAAAATAACATTCAAAAACAAAACTATTTGCAATACTCTCACTGCGCGGGCAAAACAGCGAGTTACGGACTCCTTGGTGCGCACACACAGCTCCGTATCCTCTCCTCTTTCTCACTCATGCTTATAGTTAGCGACACCATCCATCCTCAGCAAGTTGTGGTCTTCAAAAATCTCTTCTAGCCGCATTCGAGCTTGCCCAAGGATGAAAACAGCACCAACGAGGCGACTTCCTCGCGCCACGATGCCGCGGTAGAATCTTCTGACTCCTCCTTCACGGTAGATTCGTCTAGCAGTGGCAAACATACTGTGTCTGCGACTCGAAGGGATCGTCATCGCCTCACCCTGCATAACCGTTTTGATAGTATCAATTGGCTGCGTCAGTGGAACAACGACAAGACCAGCAGCCAGACAACCGGCAATTGAAGCCGACGCCTTCTGTGACGCAGTTGCAGTGTCATAGTGACCAAACGTCTGGGGTTTCAAGCGATGCACCTCGCGAGTAAACAGCGGCCCCAACGCCAAGTAACCAGCGCACCAGATAGCGTCACGAATTGCAGTAGCCGGATAGCCCCGCATTAGTCTCGTCACTCCGTGGGTGTCCACTACAGCCTTCACTGTTGCCCCAAAGCTCCGTCCGTTGTTCTGTTGCACCGTCATGACCAGTTCAGCCGGACCCGTGATGGCCGCTGCCGTTGCGCCGGAAATCGTGCTACAGAGCACCTTGACTTGGCCTGTTGGAGCCGTATCCGTACCGCTCACCTTGCGCAGCAGTTTTCCGTTGACAGCAAAGCGGATGGCACTCACGGGCGCTATGGAGGACAATGACACCCCGAGACCACGGTACAGCGCCGGAATCGAGCGGGGAAGTGGTCGACCTTGCTGCACAGCATTCTTGACGGCTACCCAGGGCTGCTGAATGGTCATCTCGATCATGCCGGCGAGGGAGCCCACGGCCCCGTTCTGCAGCGCCGTCAAGCGTTGCGCGCGCTCCGTCATCTTGGAGAGGTGTCGAAACGTGAATTGATTTCAAGATGAAAGTTGCACGGCAGGGCGCTCTTTGCACACCCACCTTGCGATTAGCGAATCGTTGCCCCGTGATGGCCGTCGTCAGCAAATCTACTTGCACCTGATACTTGTACCGGTACACTGAAGCCATGGAGAATTATCAAGCACCGCACTCCAAACTGGAGTCCAGTAGAAATATCGTTTATCAGCATCGCTCTTCAACTCGAGCCCAGTATGAAATTCGTTGATCATCACCGCTACGTTTACGAGATGGAATCGTGTTACGTTGTTGCTTGACTTGAGCTCTATGTGCCTACGGTGGCCTAGATCTTAAGCAGCTCGTGCTCCTCGAAAACCTCCTCGAGTTTGATGCGCGACTGGCCCAGGATGAATACAGCGCCGACCAAGCGGCATCCTCTCGGAACGATGCCACGGTAGAATCGCGCCAAGCCTCCTTCGCGATATATGCGGCAGGCCGTGGCGAGCGTACTGGGTGTGCGACCGGAGGGCAGCACCATAGCCTCGCCCTGCATGACAGTTTTGATGGTGTCCACAGGCTGAGTGGCCGCTACCGTGATCAGACCAGCAGTGACGCAGCCGGCAATCGAGGCCGACGCCTTCTGCGACTTGGTGGCAGTGTTAACGTCTCCGAAGGTGGCGGGACTCAGTATGTGCATCTCGCGGGTGAACACGGGGCCCAGTGCCAAATATCCGGCGCACCACACTGCGTCTCGCACTGCCGTGGCCGAAAAGCCCCTCAGCAGTCGCACCACACCGTGTTGCTGAGCGACCTCTTTGACCGTCGCACCGAAGCTCTTGCCATTGTTCTGCTGCAATGTCATTACTAGCTCCGCGGGGGCGCTGAGCACCGCCGACGCGACGCCCGAGAGTGTGCCGCACAGCACTTTTGTCTGGTCCGAAGGAGCCGAGGTCGGATCCGTCAAGCCACGCAGCAACCGGCCATTGACTGCGAACTGAATGGCACTCACAGGTGCGATGGAGGCCAGCGACACGCCCACGCCGCGGTAGAGTGCCGGTACGGACCACGGGATCGGGCGGCCCTGCTGCACCGCGTTCTTGATGGCGACGGTAGGCTGCTGCAGCATCACTTCGATCATGCCGGCGATGGAGCCCACAGCGCCATTCTGTAGGCCAGATAGTCGTTCTGCTCGCTCGGACATCGTGTAGGGAAGAGGTAGGTGCTCTGCTGCGTCTAAACAATGAGGGTGTAGTTTGGCGGAACGGGCTTTCATTGGCTGGCGATCAGCATGTGGAATATTCCCGTGGTGGCGTAGGTAGCGATAGCAGTTTAGCTCCCCAGCATGTTGGCTGTCGCTGTGCTTGGTTAGAAAGGTGAAGGCGAGGTAGCTTAGCAGCAACGGCACTAGTGAACCGGAATGGTTAGTGTAGAGAGTGTAGGTAAACGAAAAAAACTTCAACTTTGTATCATTTTGAAAATTATCAAATTACAACAGTATAAAAACGAAAAATTTACACCAAGAAATATACAAAAGGAGCTAATTTTGAAATAATCTATTTAAACATTTGCCTGCTGTACATTAGGTCTCACAGTGAATATAGTACCTGATGCCCCAACTTGTCAAAAAGTCATACCTTCTCGGCCTTTTGGCTAAGATCAAGTGTAGTATCTGTTCTAATCAGTGTGAAAACTGGTTTTCGCCGTTTTGGCGGACTTTTTCACTCTCATTTTTGGGACTTCCGCGCGCGACCAGCTTGCTGGCGGCGGGTGGAGCGGTCTCCGGGGGCGTACACCTTTCCCCCGCG